GAATTGTATATGTAAATTAATGTACAGTGCAGACCAAAAGTTTGGACACACCCTCTCCTTATAAAGAGTTTTCTTTATTTTCATGACTATGGAAATTGTAGATACACACTGAAGGCATCAAAACTATGAATTATGTACGCACTTAAAAAAAAGTATGAAACAACTGAAAATATGCCTTACAGGGAATTTACACAGTAGGCGTTAACAGCGTGTAAGCGTTGACTGTGCGCATGTGCGCGTACTGCATTTTTTTGCAGTATCTACACTGGCCGTGCACGCAGGTCCGCGGCTTCTGATGCTCTCCCTGTGTAGTTGGAGCAGTGTAGAGGACAGTACCGGCAAGAGGACTGATGTAGAGCAACACAAATCACATTCATGTGTTTGTCTTCATGGTCTCTGTTTGCTGGTTTTGCCAATCCTCCTGCTAATATTTAGACACAAGTGCTGTGTGTGTGTGCGATGCGATCTAAAGCCAAGGGTCACTAAATCATGTTTCACATGTGTTTTCAATGGGAGACGCATTGCAAAATTAGAAATCCATCCTAAATTAGTAGTGTAAATATCATCATTGGTTAACATGGGAAAAAGTTGCTCGCGTCTGCTGCGCGTATAACGTGTACGTGCTGTAACGCGTGATGTGTAAATTAGCAGTTATATTCTAGATTCTTCAAATTAGCCACATTTTTCTTTCATTACTGCTTCACACTCTTGGCATTTTATTGATGAGCTTCAAGAGGTAGTGACCTGAAATGGTCTTCCAAAAGTCTTGAAGGAGTTCCCAGAGATGCTTGGCACTCGTTGGCCCTTTCACCTTCACTCTGTGGTCCAGCTCACCCCAAAACCATCTGGATTGGGTCCAGGTCCGGCGACTGTGGAGGCCAGGTCATCTGTCCCAGCACCATCACTCTCCTTATTGGTCAAACAACCCTTACACAGCCTGGTGTGAATCTACAGTCAGTAGCCATGAAAAGAAAGGACACTCATTGGAAGGGAAAGTGTGTCCAAACTTTTGGTCTGTACTGTATACAGTATGTCTGCAGGTAAATCATAGTAACACTGGGCCTCATTCACGAACGGTTCTTAGGAACAGATTTGTACGTAAATCCTACTTACGCGGTTTTTACGAAGAAAGTGGCATTCACGAATATTTCTCGTAACCAGAATTTCTCTTGGGCAAGTACAAATCCTACGAGTCCTCAGGAGCACTCGTACGCATTCAGTGCCGACATGTTCACACGCCGGGGTTGTCCTCTTTGGTGAAGTTGAATAAAAATACAACATTCCAGTGATATGTCCGTCATATCGATGTATGTATTTATTTATTTGTAGTAATCTTTATTAGTAATCTTTATTTATATACCGCCTTTTTCACTGCAGATCTGGCCTACTTTTTAATTCATTTTGAAATGAAATGTGCCAACGCTTTATCAAATACATTGGAAATCTTGCCGTGTATTAGTGATCCCTTCCTATTTATAGGGGGCATTTCTTTATCCACGGGCCACAGAACAACGGCATATATACTGCTGCTGCAGGAGGTTACTGGGTCCGCGCTGAGTCTCTGCGCTGGTCTCTCCTATGGATCTATACGGGTCTGCACTGGTCTCTCCCATATACGGGTCTGCACTGGTCTCTCCCATATACGGGTCTGCACTGGTCTCTCCCATGGATCTATACGGGTCTGCACTGGTCTCTCCCATGGATCTATACGGGTCTGCACTGGTCTCTCCCATGGATCTATACGGGTCTGCACTGGTCTCTCCATACGGATCCGCGCTGGTCTCTCAAGTCTGGTCTATGCGGTCTCTCTTCGGTCCGCGCTGGTCTCTGCGCACCGGTCTCTCCAGTCAGGTGTCTCCAGTCTATGCGGTCTCTATAGGTCCGCGCTGGTTTCTGTGTGCTGGTCACTCCAGTCTCTCCTCGGGTCTGCATTGGTCTCAGCGCTGGTCCGCGCTGGATCTCCTCCCAGGGTCCAAAATATTTTGAGATTAATCTCAAAACATTTTGAGATTCATCTTTAAAATAATACATAATATATTTTTAAATTAAGCTCATAACATTTTGAGATTAATCTCATCATATTCTTAGATTAATCTCATAATTTTGCTAGTTCGACTTTATTATCATAATATTTCGACTTTTAAGTCAACATTTTATGACTTTATTCTCAGTCTGGTAAAAGAAGAAAAAAGGGTGACTTTTGCTCCGTGTAAAGGCCTGTTGCTGTTTCCTCTGCCGTCTGCACACGGCCCTGCAGTCCCTTATATGGGCAATAGTGGGCGGTTACTTATGCTAAGTACCTATGCTAATGAAGCACCTGGCACGCGCGCTCAAATGGGATTCATCAATCTGAGAGAACAGCTGCGAACAATTCAGCGGCTTACGAGTGCGTTGATGAATCCCACGTGGGGACTTCTTAGAAATCTACTTAAGGACAACTTGAGAAGAAAGTTGAGTAGTTTCTTACGAAGTTATTCGTGAATGAGGCCCACTCTCTTTAGCAGGAATTTTAGGGTAATACGTTCATAGTTCTAAGGATTCAAATATTCTCACTCATGAATCTACTGAACATGTGCAGCACGAGGGCATGGACTAAAAGTAAAGTGACGGTTGGATACATGTGGTCCCATATTGCATGTTCTGTTTGGGGGATATTCCTGTATTTTCTCTGTGGCTCTGGCTTGGCTGACTCTGCAATGATAAGGAACAGATTACTTTATTATTAATCACAGAAACAATGTCTAGAATTTTTTTTTTTTTTAAAGATCCTCAATCACTTGAGCTTTGGTTTTAGTGCCCAATAACCTTACTACTTTTCAAACTGTGGTAGTTGACTAAGTTTTAATTTCTTTCCATTTATTATTTTTTGTCTCATGTACTGGTCACATTAAATCGACGCGTGATGTAGCTATACAAGGCAAGGTTTATTTGTATAGCACAATTCATACACGAGGCAACTCAAAGTGCTGAACAAAACAAGCGGGAAACAACCACACAAGACATTAAAATCATTAATAAACACCATAGATTAAAAAGAGTAAAGATTAGGTTATAAAACTTTAGTTGTATGCACAGCTAAACATAACTGTTTTTAACTTGGATCTAAACATTGTCAGAGAAGAAGCCTGTCTCACATTTTCAGGAAGAATGTTCTCGATTTCAGCTGCATGAATCTGAAACGCTGCCTCCCCATGTTTAGTTCTGACTCTGGGCACCAGCAGGAGTCCAGTCCCTGTGCTCCTCAGAGTCCGGGCTGGTTCATAAGGCACTAACATTTCACTTATATACTTTGGTGCGAGGCCATGGAGAGACTTATACACAAGCAGAGCTGATTTAAAGTCTATTCTCTGAGCCACAAAACCCTGAAGTGGAAATGGTTCCTATTGCTCACACAGTTGTCCTCGGATGACGCCCTCGTGCACAGACAGACGCACGCACTGTAATGAGCTCTGATAGTAGCGGGGCCGGTGCCTCCTGTGCTCCTGCTCATTAGGCGCTCTGCAGATGGGAAACAGATGAACTGCTTCAAACAATATGGCCTCTCCACACAGCGCTTTATCTGCTTCTGCCCAGTTCCAGAGCACAGAGCAGGCCCGAGCAGCTCAGACCTGTGCACTATCCTTGGCTGTTTTGTGTTGCACTTATTATCAACTCATTTACCTGCATGTGTAGGGAGGGATTTGTGAGGATTTATAGAAAACAAATGGATTTCAAAAGAGATATAAAGTTCAGGATAACAAGGGGCACTAAATTCCAGACGAAATCGCTTTTGAACCTTTTGAGAAAGCCTAAGTTTCACTGATATTCAACGATATTTATGGACATTTAACAACATCTATGGACATTTATCAACATTTATGGTTGCGTGGATCAATGGCTCTGTGTTTTTTATCATTTAATTTCTTGTGTGATAACTGCAAGAGGCGACAGTAGCTCAGTTGGTAGAGCATTGGCCTTTGAGCCAGAAGGTCATGGGTTCAAGCCCACCTCAAGACTTTCACCATGGACTCCTTCCGTCTGCTGTTGTTGTGTCCTTGGCAAGACACTTAACCTCTGGGAACACCAGGTGCCAGAGTGGGGCGGCTGCGGCTGTGAAGTGCCAAACTGCCGTTGTGTCCTTAGGCAAGACACTTTACCCCCATTGCCTAGACTGAGTCTGGTGTGTGTGTGAAAGGTTGATGGTGGCACATACTGGTTGCCTTCCTTCTGTCAGTGTGGCCCAGGGCAGCTGTGGCTACAGTATAGTAGTTTATCACCACCGTGTTTGGAGTGAAAGAATAAAGACATGTAAAGCATCTTTGAGTGTCCAAAAAAGCGCCATATAAAACCGATGCATTATTATTGATTCTCTGATCTCTTGGTGAATTGAACGGTTTTGTAAAGTCCTCCGTGATAACTACTGTTGAGATTTAGGGCTATACAATTGATATTGAAAACATTCTAATCATGGATCATACCTACAGTATGTCTACCATGCAAAAACCCTTTCATAGGCAAGCCAAAGCATGTTTCTTTGTATTGCATAGAACTTGACTTTGACTTTGAGCTCTCAGAAACTAAGAACAACCTGATATTAGCTCAGAAAAATAGGTTTGAGCCATTTTGCGGATGCTTTTCTTTGATCCATAGGCTAACAGACAGGCATTTCTGTCAAATCAAACAGAAATGCAATGATTAAAACAAAAACACATAGAGCCATTTGTTCATAAGCGGCAGATGACCAACGTCCATAGATGTTGATGAATGTCCATGTAGTAAGTGCACGTTTTGTAAAATGAGGCTGGAGTTTGATAGAACAGGGAGAGTGATTAGGGCAACGTGGGATTATTTAAAAAACATGTATGCATCAATCAAATTATAGCCTTGAAAAAGACACTGATATGGGGGCAGCGCTTTAAACTAGGACAAAAGCTCATACATTATTTCTCCATAATCTGTATCAAAAAGCACAAAGTCCTTTCATTATTTCCTTGATGTTTTAGGCCTTGTGTCTTTACCAGGTGCGAATATTCACATTTTCAGTGGGACAACACAACTATGACAAGAGACCCATTCAGTGGATGGCCTGCTCCAACAAAGGTAACACACATTTGAATTATTGTCTGTATTATTCATGAACCTATATTTATTTCACGGTGGGCCTCATTTATGAAAGCTATGTTTAGCAAAATATGTGCATCACCTGTGCGTATGGAGAACATTAAGCTCAAAACGGGATCTATTTAATTTCAAGGTTTGATCAGGTTTGGTACGCTCAGATCTCACGTCAGGTCTGGATGTGTCAAACGTTGATTTTAAAGCGACAGACTGAACAGGAAAACTTTTAACCTCATGAACTTAGTTGTCCCATAATTGTTCAATAATAGTGTTGAGTTAGAATGCAGTTGAATGTCTGTTTTTCAATCTGGAGAGACCAAGACAGACACACGCAGAGGGGGGATTGTCTGCTGCTGTGGATGATCTCAGATCCCCATGTGTTAAGCTAGAGCCAGGGCAGGAGCTCGAGGAGGCGCCGGGTGTCGAGAGCTTTGAGAAGCACTGGTTAGTAGGAAGTGGCTGCTTTTAAACTGCCCCCTTAGCTGTCAGTCGGCTGGCTGAGCTGTGTGATTGGCTAAGGCTCGAGGCTGGCCGAGGTGTGTGATTGGCTGAGGCTCGAAAGGCGGACCTTGGATGGGGTGAGAGCTGCAGCACTGGTCTTCTCAGTCTGAATTTGCGCTTAAGCTTCATTTTACTTTGTACAATAATCAGAACAACACACCACATCATCTGCAGCACAACACGTAGATACAACGTGGTCGAAAACTCACCTGAAGGCGGTCCTCTTTGCTCTAGGTTTTGAGCGAACTGGTCCGTCGCATCTCTTCCTTCCTGACTTGTATGCAGGAGTTTGGACTCTGGTTCTGTCTTTCGCAGTCTGGACTCGTTACTATCTTGAATGCGTGTGTCGAGGTTCTGTACTCAGTGTTTGACAGGTTCTTAATGTCTTTGTACGGCTGATGCAGTGTTAACTTTTATATTCCATGACTTTTTATTTAAATAACTTCAAAATCATTACCTGCACATTTCAATGGAACAAAACAGTGTATTTCTATTTTGTTCATAATTATCAAGGATTTCTTGCTTTGACTGAGGAGGAAACAATGTTGTAACTTGCATTACATGTATCTAATAATCAGTGGCTTTTGGACTGATATTGAAAAATGCGTTGCAGGATACTTTTATGAGATCCCGTCCATTGGAGCCATCAGGATAAACACACAGGTGAGACTTTTAAGAATATATACTGTACTTTAGTAAGCCATATTTCTGAATGTGAAATGTAGTTGAACATACTGTATAATGAATAAAAAATGTATCTCAAAAGTGAAACACCCCAATGGTGATGACATTTATTTTTTTTAATAAATCAAACATGCTCCAAATACAGCCATAAATAATTTTACTATAGTGTAACAAGTTTGAGACTGGATCATTTTGTCAGAGGGGCTGAGGATATAGGTTTGTGCCAGAAGGTGGATGAAAATAAAAACCAGTCACCAACGTAACATTAATATATACGGTTCAACCTTTTTTTTTTGATAAGAATGTTGCTGTCTCACTATTGATCTGTTATTATGGTTTGGTCTTTTATTGCGCAGCACTTTGGAAATGGTGTTTATCAAAGTAGATGGAATAAAACACATAATGTCGCCTTTTACATAATGGTGCTCTACAGTTATTAACAGTTGACTTGGAAAAACCGAAAAATCATACTGCGTTTAATAAGCAGGTCTATTTTTGTTTGGATAAAAACAGTTTTCATAGCATGTCTCCTTTAAAGCAAAAAATATATATGGTAGAAATGACAAAATCTACTACATAAACTGAAGAAGCAAATTTAAAAGCCAGTTGATCCCCGACTGATTAATTTCATAGGGACAAAAGTAAAGCCAAAATAAACTTTATCATTCCGTCTCTTTGCTCAATAACTTTCAAATGAGCACAGATTTGAACCTCAGCCTGAAAAAAAAAAACTATTTTATCTTTGTTGTGAGAAGCTCTTCTGTTGATTCATCAGGATGTGTTGCCCGGTTTCCACTAATCTCCTAGTGTTATATCTATTGTCAATTAGTCTGGGTCTGTGATCAAGATCTGTGCAGCCGAGTACATCACAGAGCAAACCAATCAGGGAAAAGCAGAAGGTTACCACTTTTCTCAAATAATTTGTTTTCTGGAAAAAGTCATTGGCACAGCAGGGGCGGTGGTTGGCATGAAAAAGGCATATGACTAGCTTGAAACTTCTGATTGGGTTGTTTTCATCAAAAACAAGGAGAGGTAAGAGGGTGTCGGGGTTTGGGAAGGCCCTGGCTATAGGATGTGAGGACCTCTTGAGAGAGTGAAGTATCAGCTTGTATCTTTTCTTGTGTCTCTTCAGGAGTACTTGGATGTCCTGGGCCGACCCATGGTGATGGCAGATAAACAGGCCAAACAAGTGCAGTGGACCAATGTCTACCTGGATGCTCTGGTATGTGACTATTAACCCTTTCAGGACCCAATTCAATTTGAATGACAAGAAAAATCTGATATTTTGTTTAAAATCATCATGTGGGGAAGTGATATTGTATACAATTCTGACTTTTTTTGAGAGAGGGACCTTCATATGCAATACATTTTGGGATGGTGCAGATTTGCAACATTGGCCTGCAGAGGGAAATAGAGCTGACCCGGGGAAAAACCCAGGGGAGATATGATCTACTAATTGGCCTGTACTGTATCTATATATACATTCATCTTTCATTTCATGCAGCTTTGTTTTCAAATTCTTAGAAGTTGGTAATAATTTAGACTTGAAATTGATGCCTAGAAAATTCGCTTTGGTAAAAACAAGGAGACTGACATTGTAGAAGTAAGACAGCTCCGCCCCCTGGTGAGCAGGTGGAAAACTGTGTTCTGCTGAAGCTCAACTAAGGCTGAGTTTACACGGAGACAATGTGGCAGTAAAACGGTATAGTTGGATGTCGGTTGCTACCAACCGTTCATACGAAGACTGTGTTCCAGGGGGGTGAAAACGTAAGTGTTCAGATCCAGCCTGCAGAGTGGGACAACTCAGGCTGAGTTTACACGGAGACAATGTGGCAGTAAAACGGTATAGTTGGATGTCGGTTCCTACCAACCGTTCATACGAAGACTGTGTTCCAGGGGGGTGAAAACGTAAGTGTTCAGATCCAGCCTGCAGAGTGGGACAACTCAGAAACGCTGCACAGCAGGGAGCTTTTTCACACCAGCGAGAGGGGAAAGGTGTGAAATCCCCCTCTGATCTGACCCCCACCTCCGCGCTGCTCCCCGCACGTAAATTTGGACATGCGCAGTAGCGGAGAACAAACAAAAACAATAATGGCGCCGCCCACACAAACTAGCTACGTGGGCTTCCAGCGCGGGACAGAGGATAATTCTACACCTTCGTTCGTCCAAACGAGACCACGCGAAGCTCTAGGTTCAGTTCCCATTTTCCCAGATGCTGTTAAAAAGCAGAATGATGTTGGTGCGTTCTGAGGGTCTGGCACAGGAAGTGAGTACACTGCCGAGGGGGGGCTGGGCACGGGGCTGGGGGTCGTGTGAGTGTTGTAAAGTTTATCTGCCCACTACTGGCCGGGCGCTAGAACTACATCGTTTTTCAACCTCATGTGAACGCTGAGAAATTTGCATTAGGAGCCAGGTCGTTTCTGTTAATAGCCTGGAAACGTCTGCGCAGCGTCTCAGTATAAACGGGGCCTAAGTCCAGCAGTGGTACTCCTGAGTAAAAAAGGCTAAAATATGGATGTGGAGTACTTAGGTTAGGTCTGAGTATTGGGAAGCAGAGTCTCGAGAGGAGCAGGGATCTCTCGAGTTTAACACTATACAATAGTATTTGGTGTAGGAGGAGGAGAAGCAGCACCAGTAGTAATAAAGTCCATTGCACAGTAGTGGTAATTAATAGTAGTCCTAAATGTTAGCAGTATTGTTGTAAAAGTAACCCGAGTGACAATAGAACTCGTAGTTGTAAAACCAGGAAAGGTTGTAAGAAACGTTGTAGCTAAGCATAGTGTTGTTGTAATTTGAATGTTCAATTTTCCAGGAGCTGGGTTTGGTCATCACTGGGACACTCCCTGTTTTCAACAAAACCAAAACCAAAGATGACAGGAACGGAGAGGTGAGAGCGTTCTGACAGTATGCTGTGTTCTGTCGATTAAATCCTGTGTTTAATGTGATGATTTGTTCTTTTTGTGTGTGCAGCATCAGAACCAGCTGATCCTGGGCGTGATGGGCATCGACGTGTCTTTGACCGACATCAAGAAGCTCACACCGCGCTTCACTGTGAGTCAGGCCTGCACTTATACATGTTAAACCTTAATATTGTTCTGAATTCTACTGATGAGCTGACAGGCAGTTTCCATCTTCTGTACTGTTCCTTGGCTGCATCCAATTTCCCAAATCCACCAGTTCTTCTGTCTCCACAGATTGGGCCAAATGGATATTACTTTGCCATTGATCCCAACGGCTACGTCCTGCTCCACCCCAACCTCCAGCCAAAGGTATCAACACCAAAAATACATGTTTATTTCCAATTCCAAATTTTCTTTTCTACAAATTTAGAAAAAGCATATTTGGTGGGCTCTGTATTATCGACACATTTATGCATTGGTCCCCTCTGAATTTCAGATCTACAAAATATGATCTTTGTCTTTTTGCCTATGGTAAAATAGATGTTATAGCACTGTTATCCCGTGTCTCTGGGACCAAATTACAAGCCAAAATCTGTATATTATTTATCCATATTTAGACTTCAGCTCGATGGATTCTATCTAGGCCACTCAGAAATGGTTTCAGCTTTTAAAATAAGTTGATTATAAACAATATTGGTTTACAAAATACTGATTGTTTGTTTGTTAAACGTAACACAAAACATAGATGTATGTAAAATATTGAACCATAAACCAATACCAACAATAAAATCCATATAACTAAGACTGCAACAATGTGTCAAGGTAATTGATTGTTTATTATAATAATTCGAGACAAGTTAAAACATTTTTATCATAACATTTACCTTATAAAACCACACCATTTTTTGCATAGGTTTCCTCCGGGTGCTCCGGTTTCCCCTACCACTTAAAACATGTACAATAGGTCTGGCATGCGTCTCCTGTATGGCAATTTTGCTCCTCTTGCTTCTCTGTGTGGAGTGAGAGACAAATGCACACAATTGTAAAGCGCTTTGTGACTCTGGTCCGAGAAAGGTGCTATATAAATAAACATCCTTTCTTAATTACTACTCAACCCATCAGTTCTCTTGCCAAAGCATCAAATAGTGACTCACAGGGCTCTTAAGTTCTTCAGTGTTTTTTAGATAACATATTTTCTAATAAATTGAAGACGGCATGTTTTTTGTCTGATTTGTTCACATTTACTTAAAAACAATGACTTACTGAGAGGTTACTTGTGGAATGAGACAAAGTACAGGGGTATTTTTCACAAATTTGAAGAATAAGTTTGGATTGCTGCACAGTGTTGAATATGAAATATTATGTTTGGTAACACTTTATAATAACTACATCTTATTTAGGCTTAATAAATGTTTAAATAACACTTAATTAATCATGAACAATTCATTAACTAAGTGTGACAAACACTTAATAACTACTTAACTACTACAGTTAATAATTGCTCATAATGAATACATCTTCAAGTACTTTACTTGTTGAATTTTTTTTTTAACAAAACATCCGACATTCTGAAAAATATGCCAAAAAAAAAGTGTGTGTTTGTGCACTGGAAAAGCGTTCATAATTCTTTGAAAATATATCCAATTTGTAATCGTCTATCGTTATTATTGCAGCCTCTTTCCTTGTGTGAGATTTTCACTCTAATATAATAATAATTGACGGCTCATTCGTTTGATTTGGTCGTCTACGTGTAAGTTATATTCCTGGTGTGAAATGATTTAGTATTCTTTCACAAGCTTAAGTTAAAAGCAGTACAACAGACAGCTAATCTGGTATCGCCGGGGGCTCAAATTTCACACAAAGTCTTCAAACGGTTTGGATAATGACGTCTGCCAGATTTAACTGTTAATTCGGTAACATAAAGCTGGGTTTTTACAAAAGTGTGAGCGGATCAGTCCACAACATGCTGTCCTCATCTAATTACAAAGCATTTTATCGTTTTATTACTTGTAAGAAAGTGCCCTATAAGTCACAAAGCTTTGGACTGATTGGCTTAATGAGGGTAGACATCATAATTTACATTTTCTGTGTGAAGAATCTGATCCAATGATATGACAGAGGCAAAAATTAAAAAGAAACAAAAGTGTTTAGAGAGCGAGGAACCAGTTGGACTGACTATGACACCATTAAACCTTTGAAATTTCCCCACTGTGGGACAAATAAAGGATCTCTTATCTAACCTGGCATTTATTTCAAGACCTGTGTTGTATTAGACCATGAAAAATATATTTCTTGGAATGCATGCCCGCTGATCTAACTCTCAAAAACAGGTCTGGAAGATTTCACAGGAAGAGAAAGAAGAAAAAACCTTATTCATACATTTCTACAAAAAAAAAAAAAAAAAAAAAAACTTGGGTCCCTCTTTTTTTACACACTGAGTGACACAGGCTGGTGGATCTAAACAACTCGCCATTTAACCTGCTTTGTGATCTAATGTTCGTGCTGAGGCGTGTTCAGTGGGATTACTCCGATGAAATATAGCCGTAATTTAGAATGCAATAAAACCAAACTGTTTTATGGCCCGTTGCCGGAAAAGTCACATGTTCAGCTTCATCATAACTCTGCTTCAGCTCTTGGAAGGATGGATGTTGTGGATATTGAATTATGGGCTATTTCCATGAATGTGCAGAAAAGGATCCGGAACAGACGTCTCAGAGTCAATGAAAAGTTTGCCTCGACGTTCCACGAGGTGAGAGTGGGGGAGAGAGTGTGGGAGAGAGAGTGTGGGAGAGAGAGTGGGAGAAAGTGTGGTGAAGAGTGTGGGAGAGAGTCTGTGGGGGAGAGAGAGTGGGAGAGAGAGTGGGAGAGAGAGAGTGTGGGAGAGAGTGAGTGGGAGAAAGTGTGGTGGAGAGGGGGAGAGAGTGTAGGAGAGAGAGTGTGAGAGTGTGGAAGAGAGACTGGTAGAGAGTGTGGGAGAGAGACTGGTAGAGAGTGTGGGAGAGAGACTGGTAGAGAGAGTGGGAGAGGGTGTGGTGGAGAGGGGGGGAGAGTGTGGGAGTGAGTGGGAGAGAGAGTGTGGGAGTGAGTGGGAGAGAGAGAGTGGGAGAAAGTGTGGTGGAGAGTGTGGGAGAAAGTGTGTGGGGGAGAGAGAGTGGGAGAGAGTCTGTGGGGAGAGTGTAGGAGAGAGAGTGTGAGAGTGGGAGAGAGACTGGTAGAGAGTGGGAGAGGGTGTGGTGGAGAGGGGGAGAGAGTGTGGTGGAGAGGGGGAGAGAGTGTGGGGGAGAGTGTGGGAGTGAGAGTGGGAGTGAGAGTGGGAGAGAGAGAGTGGGAAAGAGATTGTTGGGGAGAGAGAGTGGATAAAGCCTTAGAGACCATAGGTGATAGTGTGATAGATGTATGTTCTAGACTAGAGGTTACTTCCCCATTTAGAAGTTTAACTGTCTTATTTAAGTTTAACGATTATGCAAAATGTACTTTCAGGTGAATTGTTCGTCCTCATGCATCCACTCAAAGTTGTTTGTAGCGTGATTTAGTTTGACTCCTTTACATTCTCGGCCATAATCCTCACAGGATGAACCAGTGAACACCCACCATTATTTTTGCAGATTTTTTTTATATCAAATGTTTCTCAATCAGCGGTGGAAAGACTTCAAGCTAAATGCAACCAATTAATGTGGTCCCTGAAATGATTGAGCATTTTTAATAACTTGCTTGCATTGATGCCAAAAGGTTTATATGCGCAATCATGACCTCATTCGAAAGCTAATTTACCCAAGAAAACTGTTAGGCCAATCGTTCATTTTTCAGTCTGAAAAAAATCCCTCTTCGCCTCAGTTTTGAGCAGTAAAGCATAACTCGAATAATTTTGCTCATAAGAAAATAAAAGTTGGTCAAAATAGCTGTGATATAGATAGATGGTGAAATGCTAAAATGTTAAACGAATGTTCCAATAAGAACCACTGAATACTTTGGTGTTGGCTGAGAAAGTAAAAGTTCTGCCCACTATACCAGATGACTTTTTGGCCCCGGTCACAATCTCCTAGAACACAGGTGTCAAACATAAGGGCCGTGGGCAAGATCCTTTTTTGTTTCCCCTGTAGGAGATACACATGTTTTACTTAATTTTAAAGCAATTTTTCATGCAAATCAATCTATTCAAATAATTGACTACAAAACGTAATTACAATTAGTTACTAAAATGTAATTACTGGCCAGTCTACAAAGAGTCTTCAACTACAGTTCATGTTTGAGTCAATCTAAAGAGTAACTGATGTTCGGAAAATAACTGCCAGAAAATGGGTTTGCCCCGGTTTTCCTTTTGTTAAAACACTTTCATGATGTAAATAAAGGGGGAAACATGCCAGTTGCTAAAGATAAGTTATAAAAACCACCCTAAGAAAACCACTTTAGGCCCCCCGACAGATTTCATTTACTTTCGACCCTCAACCAAAATGCTTGTGACGCCCCTGTACTCGAGGATTGCTGTGTAGCAGTCAGAAGCATTGTATGTCTTCATTAAACACTATCTTTGCTTCAGCATTTCATATTTTATCAGGATAAAGAACAGAACAACACTGTGGGACTCCTGTTCTGTGAGCTCATGCAAGTAGACAATTATTGCTGAAGATTACGGAAAAAAACAAGTAGTGGATAAAAACAACTTGAGATCTGTTTTGGATGCAACAAAACCAAAAGACTGTTTTGCATAATGTGTCCTGTGTAGAGGCAATTGTTTTTGTTTTTCCCCTTCTACTTGACAAGGCTCCCGGTCCTTCCCCTTTCTCCCTGTGATGGATGTGACATTACCCACCCTCATATTATGTCTGTCATGTTTCTTTTGTTGTTTCCTCTCCTCTTATTTTGCTGCTGTTGCATGTCTTCTCCATCTAAAGTAAGAAACTACATCACAATGCATTTACATTTCTGCACAAAGGGTTCACTATTGTCGTATTTCAGGTCCAACACTGGCTGAAATGTGTCGCATTCAGAGCTGGTGTCTGGAGCATTTGAGCCGGAGTCTGTTTGAGTGACTGCTTTTATAGAGGGCCGGTCCATGAATGCTGACTGTGTCCCTTTAGAAAGTCTCTTAGACCTACTAGAGGTAGTCCATATAACTTTTATATGGACATTTATGATTCTGTGGAGCTGACAGGACCAGGGGTGTCACATCGGCCCCATATGGTACGCACACAACACACAAGTCCTGGTTTGGACCTGCTTTTAACTCTCACCCTGGAGTAGGAATAATTTGCTTTGTCCATTTATTTACTTGAGCGTGTCATGTTTTAGCAGGTTAAATAATTGTTTTAATTGGAACTATATGGATAAGCATGTGTAATGGATGAGGGAAGGCTTGGAAGTGGTAAGACATCTCCATCTAGTGTTAGAAGAGAGCAATGTCACTCTGCTATTCTAGTATTTGAAAGCAGGCTGTTGTAAATGTCATGGAATTTGACTCTAGAAAAATGTTTGAATTAATTGTGCTTTTAACTAAAAGGGCTTGGTCTCTGACTTTATAGTGTAAGGATCACTATAGTATTTAATTTCATTTCATTATTATCTTAAAAATAGATCCTGTTTGATGTGGGAAATACGAGTGCTCTTCTTTCCTCCTTTTTTATTCTGCTGAAATGTGCACAACGATGACATCGAACATTTCCCACTATGGGATGAATTAAACATCTATCTTATCTTAATAGTCATAGCGTAACAAGTTTGAGATGGGGACATTTTGTTAATGGAGCGGGACACTTAAAACCAGTTCCTGATAATAGCACGGATCTATAAATTACCCCAAGTCTGTTTTTGATGAGGAGAAATGTTGTATGTGAATAAAAACGCAAAGAGCTGATCACACACAAATTCAACATTATCAAAAAATAGGTCCCAACCTAAAATGTAAGGCCCAGACAGAACTAATTTATTTTCCATTTTGAACCAAAAAAACCATGTTTGTATATTTTGGTTTTGGCCAAGACTTGGACTTCTTTATTTCTTCAAACGTATAAGTTGAACCCTCAAACCATGCTATAGTCTCAATTTATTCCGGTTTAGAGCTGTTTTATTCCTGCATCGGTCGAGTTTGAGTCTTATTCTGGATTTTAAATTAAATACATCGCTATTCAATGTTTATCTGTACACGGCCCCTTACAAAGTCTTGATGGCTTTTTAATGTACGATTTGAAGCGTACAATGGCCGAGGCCAAGTGCCAAATGGGCCAATCTCTGTTTCAGTCTTCCAATAATAAATGTGTGAAAAGTAAATTGTGGATGGTTGGATGGAGGTATGCTGTAAAACCACGTTAGCATTTTCTCTGTAATTTAAGCTATCCACATGGAATGGTTTTTGAAAGTCTGTATTTTAGGAGTTGTAAAGTTTTTTCTCGCTGATTTGATCAGTCAGGCAAAGTGTCTTTTCCTTTTTAAATAAACATATTTTTTCCTCCACACAGAATCCTAAATTCCAGGAGCCGGTCACGCTGGACTTTTTGGACGCAGAGCTGGAGAATGACATCAAAGTGGAGGTAACGTTTTCTTATATATAAGACATTGACCGTGCTTTGCCAACGTATTGATACCCTTTGAACTCTTGCACATTTTGTCATGTTATAGCCACACATACAAATAGTATCTTTGGTATTTAACGGAACGACCACAAGGGACAGCTGAAAAAAAATATGATTTAAAGAACATAAACTGAAATGAATGGTATGTATATATATATATATATATATATATAAATGGCTCAAAAACTCACTGCATCACACTCAACACCCTACTGTAAGTGCTCAATCCCCAGGGGTGGTAGCATCATGCTGTGTAGCTGCTTTTTTTCAGCAAGGAGAGGGAAGAGTGTAAGAGTTGATGGGGAAGTGGATAGAGCAAAATACAGAACAATCTGCAGAAAAGCTGCTGGAGCTGGGTATCCTCAGTATGTACTGTAGTGATTTCGTAACACTTTTAAGCAACTATGGTTAAAGTTCAAACTCTTCATTCTCACTTTTGCACGAGCCAGTACTTTTCCCTTGTTTTGGTTAACTTCAAGGTTGAAGCTACAAGCACGACGTGGCAGCTGCTGATTGGAGGTCTCTGTTTCTCCTGAGTATAATATCACTTTCTGTCTGTATCATTCCTTGTTCGTGCGTCTACCATCAACAATAAAACATGTCTTCGGTCTGAATTAAAGACACGATCCCAGACTTTGGCTGATTCATAACAGTACTCATGTTACTATATGATCTCTTATGCAAACTAAATTAAAATAAATAAATAACAAAATCCTGTATTGCTTACTTTCACTTCACAGTTCTGTTACGTTGTTGTGGTATTTCAGTAAACTATACAATTGTTGTGTGTTGCTGTAATGTGACAAAATGTGCAAGAGGTCAACATGCATTGATTCTCCCGTACGGAACTGTGCATGTCATTAAATTCCCTTGTGTTGGTCCAGGGCTGGCTGCACTTTGGTCCTCCATTCAGTGGGGTTGATGAGAAAATAAAACAATAAGATTGTCAGGTTACAACTTCAGCGAACGAGGCTGCCTCCTCTAGCATCTACAGCGCTGATAAAAACAGTAGCATGTTAGCAGAATTGGTTATAACTCCTCTGGCTATAACTGCGTACACAGCAAAACAGCCCAAACAACACAACAATGAGGAAGAGAAGAGGGAACTAAAGCGAAAAACTGATCAAAGAAGAAATCAAGCCCGGGTGAACATATATTTTGTTAGCTGTGCGTTGCTTTTGTACCATTTCATCAGTGATTGTTGTACAGCTTACAAGAAGTTGCGCTCATGGGGCGGTGCTAAACATTCAAACCTTGCAGAAACGGGTATGGCTCCTTAAAGTGAGTGAGGCCTAAACAAGTGCACCAGAGTCCACTTACACCAGAGCAAGTGTGAGACAATTATTTCACTGAAGAGTACGTCATTCAAGTATTTGTTCTCTGCTCAGCATCAGCATGTTTGTAATATTCCCCTGGGCAGATCAGAAAGACCATGATTGACGGAGAGACCGGAGAGCGCACCATCAACACCCTGGTCAAGAGCCAGGATGAGGTAAACACACAGGTGCACCACAGTCCCAATGTTTTTTTTGTAGAACCAGCTTCTCACTTAAATCAGGGATTTCGGTTGTTGTATATATACATAACTATAGTTTGCCTGCAACTCCAGTTTTGTATGTAAAGTTAATTAATCAAAAATTATTAATAGTTTTTAGGCAACTCATTTGGACACAGACGTTGACCTACTCTCTGTGCTGGATACTATATTGTTACTATATTGTTACTGTATTGTTTTGTTGGCACGGCAGCTTCTCAAATATGTGCAACTTCTCAGTATTCAGTAATTGTTGGATCTAAGCCAAAACAAATTGTGTACTCAAATGTATTGGTTTTATTGTTTACTACAATCAAATAGAGTTTGAACCGTTTGTATTATTTCTCTGGAGCACTGTTTTGCCAGTGCATTTGAAATTAGTGTACAATGGATGAAAACTGTTTAATCTTCAAACAAAAACAACTATGAGAATAAGGAGGAATGTTCTTCTCAAGCCTTCAATTTAAATAGCTGCCTTGGATGTGAAAAAGTCTTGTCCATATTGTGTGCAGAGATACATAGACCGAGGAGTGCGTACTTACACTTGGGCACCAGTCAACGGCACTGATTACAGGTGACAACTTCTGTATTTGAAAACTTCTTGTACTCCTATATAACATGTTCTCTACCTCTGCAAACAAACCCCACACTTGCAACTCTCACTAGAGTGGAATAAAAATGCAAATACCTCCACTGTCTCTGCAATACTCCACCTGAATGGATCCAATTCGTTCTAAAGCTTGCGGATGTCTTTACATCAAAACGCCTGGCCGCCTCGTCGCCTTTGAGCAGCTCTGAAAAGGAGCGAATACAAAGAATGTGTTTGACTAAAAATGACACTTTTCTACTACAATCTGAACATTTATGGTGATGGTATTTCTGTGTTAGACCAATAGGGGTCACTGTCACTCTTCGTAATGGCTGCAGGACTGTATCACAGGGGGATTTGTCATCAATAATCTCATTTATAGAGCTTTATATGTGTTTCGGAATGCAATCCACAACAACATGAATGACATATGTTGTTTTATGATTATTTTTGTGGTGTTGCGTGTTTAATTCAATTAGAACTAACACAAAAGTGCAGACATTGGTTGGATTGCATCATTTTACACATTGAAAAAGCAACTATATATCAACTTTTCCACTTGTTAGACTTGCTTTCACCTCTCATGTAATACATCCATAGCTTGCTTTCAAATGGCCATTACAACAATATCTGTCCTTTCACTCACCACACGGGTCTGTCCTACTCTGTGACATGGATGTTTCAGAAGTGCCATTCAAGTATTCGGACAAAAGTTGCAGCTGTGATTAACTGCTTCTGTATATCAGTACTTGATCCGACACCGAAGTGAGAACTACTCTTTGTGCTGTCCATCACTAAAATGCAATCTATCTAAAACTAAATCAAATAGTCAAATGCAGACAAGGTAATAAACAAAAACACAAGAAAGATAACTTTTATAAAAAATTAAACAAAATGTACTGTACAGGAGTCAGTTTTATTCAGCTCTTTAAGATAGGCCTGGAAACACCTTACATTACTTTATTTAAAATGTATTGGTAATTCTAATCTGACATGTGAAGAGGAGCAAACAAATTGGCTTGGAAAAACTAGAAAAGTCTAAAATGTAATTGTTTTGGAGCAGTATGGGCAATATTCCCATTTTTTTAACGGTGTAATAATGACCCACACGCTTCGTCGATGCCATATACAGAGGTTGTTTGCAGATTAGCCCAGTACCCTCTAGCCTTCTGAGCTTCATCTGACGACACCCATTTACTCTTTCTACAGTTTATGTTGCCAGTTTAAGCAATAACTCATGCTTCTTTTTCTCGTCTTTTTTTGTCATGGAGACAGTTGTAACGTCCGTCTGTCTTGTCTCCTGTCCACAGCTTGGCCCTGGTGCTTCCCAAATACAGCGAACACTTCCTACAGGCCAGAATTGGAAACGACATTCAACAGGCCATGGGTGAGGACCGTAATATCAACACTATATATCTGTTCAATCATATAACTTGAACGTATCTGGTTTTGAATGGGAACTTAAGCTCATGTTTCAGTTCTACTGTACTACCATCAAGTGTCGCTATCAATCTTTCTATCCATCTGCAGTTTGTTGCAGTAGACTGACTGCATTCGTCTGTTTGTGTAATTTTACTCATAGTTTATAGGACAGTAGAGGATATATAGTTGATTGCACTTTGCTGTTTGTGTGTTTTTCCATTGGTTTTCACTGTATCAATTAATTCTGTATTCTAATTCAATATTTTCAACTATTTTGTATTGTAGAAGTCGTAAATCAAGTCATGGTCAATATCTTCCTAGTACAAATTCTAAACTTTATCGACACAAGTTAAAGGGGACATAACTTGCTAGTCATCACCATGCTAGTTTTGTAAGATTCATCTTGTCTTCTTCGTAGAATTAAAAGTGTTGGGTTCTTCTATACCAGAACATTTTTAGGGTTAGGGTTTTTTAAGGTTTTGTGATGTTATTACCTTAAAACCTAACCTAATAACGTCACAAAACCATTTATTGTCTGGTATAGAAGAACCCAATACTTAATTTTGACCATGCTGTCCCACACGATTCTCCCATGTTCTTGTTTGAATCTTTGACACACAGATTATTCAGTAGATTTGCCCAGGCTTCATTGCTCAAAGAAAATTTGCTAATTGCTAACTTAATCTGTGGTCTATAAGCAGAGACTTTGACGCACACTGATATAGCGATGCAGCATCAGTGTCTGAATACATTTCTATCATAACATTGTTTAACTTTAGATCAATGCTGAGATTCTAGCTGCACTAACTATAGAATAATGATCCACATGTCTTAATCTTTTTTTTTAAAACAATTCTTTTTCCAGTCTAATCTGACCTCTTTTTCCTTCACTTTTCCCCTTTTCTGTGTTGTGATCTGCTGATTTGACAGCATCGACCTGGGGCAAGTACTTTCCTCTCTTCCTTTCATGCATTGTTCTGTGAGAGTGCATCCATTTCTCACTCAGGCTTCACATAACTGACGACTTGTACGACAGGTAATGAATGAGTTTTGGCGACGTCGAACGCAGACACGGCTTTGATCGCAAAATATGGAGATAAATGAGGGCCGTGCGGCATGGAGGTTTTAAAGAAGATGTATTGAGATTTTCTTGGCTCCATTGTTATAAAATGTGAAATTCCAACGCAAAGGATAATATAGTGTAGAAGATATGATGTATGTCACTTTCTGATGACTTTTTATAATAGTTTCTTTCTGCTGATGGGTTGAAATAGCAAATTAGCATAGGCAGATAACAAAATTCGGTTTAGAAACGTTTAAATAAAGTAGCTATACGTAAGATATTCATGTCCAATTAAAGGGGTGCTCACACTTTTTCAGCATGCGAGCTACTTATAAAAGGATCAAGTCAAAATGATCTACCTACTACAAAAATGCAAATCATATATTTATTTCAAAAAATATTCTTTATATCTACAATGTATGTTTATGTACATGCAAAACCGCATGAGCCAATATAGCACAACACAACACAATTACCTATGTAAATTTTTTGTCATTACCCGAGTTTACTCTTATGACTTGCACTGAATTGAATCGGCCAGGGATGCATAGTCCGGGAAATTGGTGGTAACTCGCTGACAAGTTTGTCGTGGTTTAGCTTTCCTGCACTGAGCGCGGTTGTTTGCGCATGTGCAGTCACCTAAGTATCAGTAAAACATTACTGAGTAAAACACAGATGTCATTTGACTGTGGTGCCATGTTCATGTGCCATGCCTGTTTTTTTAAAATCTAAATATTTTCCCTCCTCAGTTTATAAAATAATTTGCATCCACACATCTGCGTTATCAGTCACATTCGTAACATTCCAAACATGTGCGTCTCTTACGTCCTGTCCTGCGTTGGGGAAAAACACAGAAGTGGGCGGAGCTTTGATGCAGACGCCGGTAACGGCACTTTTACAGTCATAGAAGACACTCAGAGTAAAGACGTATGTTTACAAGCACTGACCCCGTCCTCAGCCCTGGTTTAGTCCTGGTTTAGTCCCGTTTTAGTCCTGGTTTAGTCCTGGTTTAGTCCTGGTTTGGTTGTTTTCGAGCGTGAGTCCCCGCGATCACTTCCCTGCTCTCTGATGTGGAGGATGTTTGCTGCTGCGAGCATCTCACAGCGAACAGTTTTTAAGGTAGTATGATCCATGCTTCAGTGATCAGGGGAATTTAGGGGGGTACTGTGGCGTGCGAGAACGCAAAACTCTGGTTATCTCTGTCTACACACAAATGCATTAACGGAGTTTTCAAAAGTTTTTTGTATATATTAGTTTAGAATGTACACCTTCTCCACCGACTCCCACTGATGACTGCTGTCGTTGTGTCCTTGGGCAAGACACTTAACCCCACTTTGCCCAAAAGCCCCCACTGAAAGATCAAGGCTATGCTCGCACTCAGAGAGCAGCCGTCCTTCTGTGGACTCACCACCTGCAGAGGGTCAGTGAGGGGCTGGTGCTATGAGACTTGGGTGGCATCTCTGATTGCCACCCCCCTGACCCAGAAATGGATTAAAGGGAAGAAAATGGATGGATGGATGGATGGATAGTTTAGAATGTGTAATTTTTTATTTATTTAATGCGATCTACCAATACTACCTTTGCGATCGACTGGTAGATCGCGATCGACGTATTGAGCACCCCTGTCCTAATATGTCAAAAGGCATTAATAAAACATGCTATTTTCTAAAGCCTAGCGTACATCGACAGAGAAACTGAGGACAACTAGTTGCAAGGCGGCTTTTGGCAACTGAGAGGAGATGGTGGGAGATGATCAGTTGCTGAAATCGGTCGATGTGCGCGCTCTTACAACTGGAGATGATCAGTCGGTCTCCAGTTCCAGTCAGTTGCCCGTGTTCTACTTTTCGGCAACTAGTTGTCCTCAGTTGCCCCGATGTGCGCGCTCCTGGCGCACAACTTGTGTTGAGAGTGTTACCATGTGACGTAGGCGCCTGCACGTGACTTGTTGCGCTAAAACAAAGTAAAATGGCGACTGAACATGAATGGACGGAGATTGCGGAGGATGATTTCGTGGCAATGTGGCGTGAGAGACCGTGTCTCTTTGACACATCAATCAAAGCCTACTCCAATAGGAACACTAAACGTGCGGCTCTGGAGGAAATTTCTTTCAGACTCGGCAAAACAGGTAATTCCATCTCGACTTTTTTCTGTTCAATTCATCCATTCATTTATTCGTGACTCGCCTATTCAATGCATATTGTAATACTCCCAGGTAAGAAATGCTCGAACAGTGCTTTTCAAGATGCTTTTATTCACAAACTTATAGGACAAGCTGTTGGCCACAGCTCACGCTTAACTCACAACACACACTCCCGACGTGTAAACACGGGGAAAAAGCCTCCCGCCCCCAGTAAAACTCTACCTTAACCAGAGCACTTCCCTGTGGTTGTAAACAGACAACCCAGAACTATTACAATATGATGGACGCGGTACATGAACAGATTCATTATTGCCTCCCTACTTGACATAAATAAGCCTACTGTTTGTTGTCACACATTGTCATTGGATATCAAGCATGCCCGCCTCGAGGACGAGGTAGCCACTCACTAATCAGTCTGTTCTACATTAAATAGATTAGCCTATAGGCATAGCCTACCCTGTTAGTAAAAAGATTGTTTTATATGTTTTAATTATTCATAGGGTTGGCCTTCAATGCAAAATTATGCTACTGTTATGACTAGTTACACATTACATTCCTTTTACTATAATCCTCTATTTTTTCATATTTACAGTCAAAGATATCACCAAAAAAATGAAGAATATGAGAACCCAGTTCAGCAGGCTCTCAAAAGCACCACCCTCTGGAAGTGGAAGACGCGGCCTCACACAGCACCAGCACTGGATTGTGAAGAATTTAGAGTTTCTTCGGCCTTACATGAAATCGAGGGAGACACAGTCATCATTCCAGGTACAATTTTTATGGATGTTCAAATTTAAAAGAAAATGTTTATTAAAAAAGGAGCAAATCAGAAATTAATTTGAAATGGTGTTTATTTACATTTTTCAACATTAGCATGAATGCAATCAGATTGTCTATATTTTACTTTCTTGCCAATCAACAGCACCCGCTGGGCTCATACAGAACTCCATCAACACATCACGTTTTGATTTGGGTTGTTGACCACTATTGTTACTGTGATGTATTCCACTAGACTGTAGTTGTGTGTCATTTCTCCAGGTCCCTGGGGTTACATCATGTGTTGTCGATTCTTGGTCCACAAGTCCTTGGCTCAGATAATGTCCATCATTTTTCACAATCAGGAAATTGTGGAGTGCACATGCACACATAACTATGTTCTCCACAACATTTGGTTCCAGGAACATCCTATTGAGAAAAACTCTGAATCGACAACTCAAAATGCCAAAAGCATTTTCAACCACACGCCTAGCTCGAGACAACCGATAGTTGTAAATCCTCTGTTCTTTGTTCATGTTTCGGAAAGGAAATGGCTTCATTAGATCATCTCGTAGGGGGAAGGCATCATCCCCAATAATGTGGTATGACACTGGGCTCTCTCCACCAGGAAGTTGTGTCGGCTCTGGTTTATTTGCCAACCGTCTGTTCAGCGCTTCTGCCAGAGAACATCCAGCAAATACTCCCCCATCAGAGATCCGGCCATTGCATCCAACATCAACATAAATGAACTTGTAATCAGCATCTACAAGGCCCAATAGCACAATACTAAAGAAGTTCTTGTAGTTATAGTATAGAGAGCCTGAGTTCTGAGGGGCACGTACAGCAATATGCTTTCCATCCAAAGCTCCCAGTGTATGTGGAAAATTCCATCTTTCCATAAACCTTTTTGATATTGTAAGCCAGTCTTCCTGTGATTGTGGCATCTGAAAGCAAAAAATATTACATGGTTACTTATTAAAACAATTTTATCTATTTCAGCTCGAGAGTAACTCTCAGGACGACACAGACGAGGAAATTGGTTTGTCGTCATCCGACGATGAGAGCACTCGGACATGTGCAAGCCCCACCCCCTCGAGCAGCAGCTTCAATGTAGAAGTCCGGTCAGGAACCAGCACACCGACCTGCTCGGTATCGAGCAAGGAGTTCGACCCCCCTAAACCACCGGCTACTAAAAAGAGGAGGGTGAATCCAGGGCCAACTGAGAGAGCAGCCGACCGCCTAAATAGGGAAAAAATGACTGTGCTAAATAGCATTGCAGAGAGCATCGCGAAGCCTCTTTCCCTACCAGACATGGAAGAGGAGAGAATGGATGAGGATGATGTTTTTGGCCAGTATGTCGCCAGTCGACTCCGAAAGATAAAAGACCAAAGGACAAAAACTAGGCTGATTGCAGTTCTAAACAATGCCATTTCTGAAGCTGAGCTGTCCATCTTAGACGCTATGATGCCTAACTTTACAAATCAATCACCCCAACAGCCAGCTCACTATCAGGCTGGGGGATACGTGCACTTTTTAAATTCATAAATTCATGTTGTTATTGCTGTGTTATTGCTGTGTTATTGCTGTGTTATTGCTGTGTTGTTTGAAAATAAATACTTACTTTCATATAATCATCTTTTAGCACATTGTATAGGGCCGGGCCTTAGCCCACGGGGCCCGGCCGGGCTCAGCCCGAAGGGATGACGTGGGCAGTCCCTCCTGTGGGCTCACCACCTGCAGAGGGGTCCGTGGTGGCGAGGTGCAGAGAGGACTGGGCAGCAGTCGAAGGCGGAGACCTCGACGACCCAGTCCACACACCCAACATCTGGCTCTTGGGACGTGGAACGTCACCTCACTGGGGGGGAAGGAGCCCGAGCTTGTGGGGGAGGTTGAGCGATACCGACTAGAGATAGTCGGCCTCACCTCCACACACAGCTTGGGCTCTGGAACCCAACTCCTTGAGAGGGGTTGGACGCTCCACTTTTCTGGTGTTTCCCGCGGGGAGAGGCGGCGAGCTGGGGTGGCCATACTCATTGCCCCCCATCTCAGCCGCCACGTGTTGGAGTTCTCCCCGGTGAATGAGAGGGTCGCGTCCCTCCGCCTCCGGGTGGGGGACAAGTCTCTCACTGTTGTGACGGCCTACGGGCCTAACGGTAGTGCAGAGTACCCGGCCTTCTTGGAGTCCTTGGGAGGGGTACTGGACAGTGCACCGCCCGGGGACTCCGTTATTCTCCTGGGGGACTTCAACGCCCATGTGGGAAATGCCAGTGACACTTGGAGAGGGGTGATCGGGAAGAGCGGCCCCCCTGATCTGAACCCGAGCGGTGTTCAGTTGTTGGACTTCTGTGCCAGTCACGGCCTGTCCATCACGAACACCATGTTCGAGCACAAGGGTGTCCATCAGTGCACGTGGCACCAGGACACCCTAGGCCGGAGGTCGATGATCGACTTTGTAGTCGTATCATCTGACCTTCGACCGCGTGTCTCGGACACTCGGGTGAAGAGAGGGGCGGAGCTGTCAACCGATCATCACCTGGTCGTGAGTTGGATCCGCTGGCAGGGCAGGAGGCCGGTCAGACCTGGCAGGCCCAAGCGTGTAGTGAGGGTTTGCTGGGAACGTCTCGCTGAGCCCCCTGTCAGACGGACTTTCAACTCACACCTCCGGGAGAGCTTCTCCCAGGTCCCGGCAGAGGAGGGGGACATCGAGTCCGAGTGGACCATGTTCTCTTCCTCTATCGCCAATGCGGCGGCTCGTAGCTGTGGTCGCAAGGTCTCTGGTGCTGGTCCCGGCGGCAATCCCCGAACCCGGTGGTGGACACCGGCAGTAAGGGATGCCGTCAGGCTGAAGAAGGAGTCCTATCGAGCAATGATGGTTCGTGGGACTCCTGAGGCAGCTGTCCAGTACCGGCAGGCCAAACGTGCCGCGGCCCGGGCTGTTGCAGAGGCAAAAACCCGGGACTGGGAGGAGTTCGGAGAGTCCATGGAGCATGACTATCGGTCGGCCTCGAAGAGGTTCTGGCAAACCGTCCGGCGCCTCAGGAGGGGGAAGCAGTTCTTTGCCAACACCGTGTATGGTGCGGGTGGAGGGCTGCTGACCTCGACTGGGGATATTGTCGGGCGGTGGAAGGAATACTTCGAGGTTCTCCTCAATCCCCCCGTCACGTCCCCCGTCCAGGAGGCAGAGGCTGAGGATGTTGGGGCGGATACTTCCATCTCCCTGGCCGAGGTCACCAAGGTGGTTGGCAGCCTCCATGGTGGCAAGGCGCCGGGAGTGGATGAGATCCGTCCTGACTATCTAAAGTCTCTGGATGTTGTAGGACTGTCTTGGCTGACACGTCTCTGCAACATCGCGTGGCGATCGGGGGCGGTGCCAATGGAGTGGCAGACCGGGGTGGTGGTCCCTCTCTACAAGAAGGGGGACCGGAGGGTGTGTTCCAATTATCGTGGGATCACACTCCTCAGCCTCCCCGGTAAGGTCTACTCCAAGGTACTGGAGAGGAGGCTTCGTCCGATGGTCGAATCTCGGATTCAGGAGGAGCAGTGTGGTTTTCGTCCCGGTCGCGGAACACTGGACCAGCTCTATACTCTCCATCGGATACTCGAGGGTTCATGGGAGTTCGCCCAACCTGTCCACATGTGCTTTGTGGATTTGGAGAAGGCGTTCGACCGCGTTCCCCGGGGTGTCCTTTGGGGGGTCCTCCGGGAGTACGGGGTCCGGGGTCCTCTGCTGAGGGCTGTTCGGTCCCTGTATGACCGGAGCCAGAGCTGTGTTCGCATTGCTGGCAGTAAGTCAGACCTGTTCCCGGTGCATGTTGGCCTCCGCCAAGGCTGCCCTTTGTCACCGGTTCTGTTCACTGTATTTATGGACAGAATCTCTAGGCGCAGCCAGGGGCCGGAGGGGGTCCGGTTCGGGAACCACAGGATTTCATCTCTACTTTTTGCGGATGATGTCGTCCTGCTGGCTCCAACGAACCAGGACCTGCAACATGCACTGGGACGGTTTGCAGCCGAGTGTGAAGCGGCTGGGATGAGAATCAGCACCTCCAAATCCGAGGCCATGGTGCTTGACCGGAAAAAGGTGCCTTGCCCTCTCCAGGTGGGTGGAGAGGTCCTTCCTCAAGTGGAGGAGTTCAAGTATCTCGGGGTCTTGTTCACGAGTGAGGTAAGGATGGAGCGTGAGATTGACAGGCGGATCGGTGCAGCGTGCGCAGTGATGCGGTCTCTGTATCGGACCGTTGTGGTAAAGAGGGAGCTGAGCCGAAAGGCAAAGCTCTCAATTTACCGGTCAATCTTCGTTCCCTCCCTCACCTATGGTCATGAGCTGTGGGTAATGACCGAAAGAACGAGATCGCGGATACAAGCGGTCGAAATGAGCTTCCTCCGCAGAGTGGCTGGGCGCTCCCTTAGAGATAGGGTGAGGAGCTCGGTCACACGGGAGGAGCTCGGAGTAGAGCCGCTGCTTCTCCACGTCGAGAGGAACCAGTTGAGGTGGCTCGGGCATCTGTTCAGGATGCCTCCTGGACGCCTTCCTGGGGAGGTGTTCCGGGCACGTCCCACCGGGAGGAGGCCCCGGGGAAGACCCAGGACACGCTGGAGAGACTATGTCTCTCAGCTGGCCTGGGAACGCCTAGGGGTCCCCCCGGACGAGCTTGAGGAGGTGTGTGTGGATAGGGAAGTCTGGGCGTCTCTGCTTAGACTGCTGCCCCCGCGACCCGGCAACGGATAAAGCGGAAGAAAATGGATGGATGGATGGATGGATATATGGCAGAACACGTTTCACGAACTATCTTCCCAATTGTAGTCGATCCAAGCCGGAATGAGTACCCAAGACTTTTGTATGATTCACCTAGAAAACATTACATTTTTACTAAAGTTACATAAGGATTGCAAAACAGTTTATTCAAAAGTAAATTAATCAATTTCAGTACAAACAATTATTCTTCCATTATTAACATAATATAAATCATTCTTATATAAAAGTGAATGTCGACTCACCAGTTGCTAGGAATCTCAGTGTGACTGCCAATCTTTCTCCTGCCGATACTGCCCTTCGAAAATTGGTGTCTTGTTTAGAAATTAATGGCTCCACCTTCTCTAACAACTCAGAAAATTGTTCTGGCCCCATTCGAAAATAATTTTTGTATGAGAGTAGATCAGTTTCTTCCAATTCCCTAACCAGATTTGGGTATGCCCCTTGCTCATCATGACGTGTAAGCCATGGCTTCATCCACAGCCGTTGTCTTTTCTGACCCTCATTGTCTTCATCAAGAAGGATCCATAGAGCAGCAGCAGCAGCTGCACGTTGCCGCCTTTCTTTCTCGAGCAAGTACCTCTTCCTGATATTTAGCTTCATAATCTGTTAAGGAAAGTAAATTACATTATAAGATTTCATGTTTTGTGTAATACATTCAAATAACTGGAACTATGTATAAGAAAAACATAGCCTAATTTTCTTTTTATAAATTGTATATTGTAACCCTATTGATTAAGATGTATTTTTGGTTTTATTTGTATTAACTAACAAGACTTAGCATTGCAGAGCATAGGCCTAGACAAAGTCCATACAAAACCTGTAGGCCATGCCATATTGACTTGTGTATAGGAGAGACAGGGCTTCAATAGGATATGTTGGGCGTCCAACATATCCTATCCAATTCATAGATATGGATTGGATTGAATTTGAATTTACATCGTTGATGAATGATGGTTGATGTGTGCCGAGTTGCGATCGGAAAGAGAAAATGGTTGATTGAGACAGACTGCAGTCTTTCAACAGATTAAACTTTCAATTATCAATGCTTGTTAGCATATTCATCACATTTCGTGTACTTTCATCAAGAATCACGAGCGCTAGAATTGTATAACACGTAGTGCAAATAGAATTGGTGGGAAAACATACCTTCGACTCGTAGTGCGCCATTTTGGACAGTCACGTGATATTGCGTGTATCTTCTTCCTCTGTTTCTGTTACATTGCGTGTATAGCGCGCCCTCTACAGTTTATGCCAGAAAACACACTATAGTTGACGGCCAGTTGCTGTCGATGTACGCGCTGTTATTCAAGAGACTGGCCTGCTACTCAGAGTTGCCCGTTTTCGCCAGATTGTCGATGTGCGCGGGGCAGCAACTCAGAGGCGACGGATATAATCAGTTGCCAGACCGATGTACGCTAGGCTTAATACTTCATTAACTGATAACAGCAGTTCAGTCCAGATACTTGGATTTCAAAATTAGTTTTACAGCCCGTAAATCTAGTTATTGTTTTCATTTCAATGTCCCAGCCTGCACCGTTTTACCAATCAGAAAGTCTGTGATCCGGGTTGCCAGAACTCACTGCGCCGAGCTAATCTCACTGCTAAAGTAACATGTGACTGCAGAACAAAAAAGGTTTCGTTATGATTCTCAAATCATTAATGACAAAAAAAGGAATCAAACAAGGATTTCTATTGGGGCCTTTGAGAAAAAGGTGTTGGTTATAGATTTGTTGTCTAACGCTTGTCTATTCAGATATTATGGTCCCAGCTGGATTTGTATGCATATCTGGCAACCCGGGTCGGGGAGAGTGGGAGAGGTTGCAGTACCACTTTTGGCCAGATTTGTACATACTGCTCCTTTAAATGTTTTGTCTTTTGAGAGATTGGTACAAATAACGCCTAACTGTAAGCCATGTAACAAGACGTGAAGATCTTAGCATTAGAGTGTGGGCTGTTGCACGCTCTGTTCTTTGCTTTATGACATTGTCCTTGTAAAAAATAACCTTATACATTAAATGATTATGACATTCCAAGCAAAGCAATAACATGTCTATGGCAACAAGCAGGTAGCAGACCCCACCAGAACAGTTGCACAATGCACCTTTTTAAAGACAAAAATAGATGAATAAAGTAATTTATTTTGACGTTTATTATGTTTTTGAATGCAGTTTTGGTTTTATCCAATTTGCATCGATCTGATTTATGTCCAATACTGGAAGTACAACTAGATTTAACTACAGATGCCCCAAAAATAGTCCACTCCGCCCCTCCCACCCATTTTTTGTCCTCTTCATCTCTTAATAGTTTTAGCAGAGGCGCTGAAGCTGCTCGGCTCCATATATCTGAGTGATGCTGTCATGTCATTTATGTGAGTCACCAGTCCGCGCTGTAAATTACAACCAGAGATTTACCCCAGAGCGGGAGGTGCACTGACAACCCACTTTTGGATGATAGCTTTATGCTAAATCGCATTGTTGTCTTCACTATAGATTTTTGGAAAAATTGATGGGATAAAGAAAAAAACACAAGAAGCTAGTTAGACTACATTGTGTTTTTCAGCTTGGATGTTTTTATTGAACGGAAAACCCCAACTCTTTATTTTGAGTGGTATTGAATCGACACAGGGCTGACTAGTCTGTTCGCGTTTTCTTGTCACTTGTAATGGGTTGTAATCACCCACAGTATGGCAAAACCGATCTATCATCCATCTATCTAGCCATGAAGAATGATTAAAAGTAGAGTTTAGCCTGCATATAAAATCGAACTTCAGTTTTTTACAGCATCATGAATCCTCCAGGGTTTCACAGTGTAGCTGTATTAGTGCACGGAGTCAGGACTAAACATGGGGAGGCTGCTTTTCAGATTCATGCTGCTAACATCTGGAACAATCTTCCTGAAGATGTGAGACAGGCCTCCTCTCTGACAATGTTTACAACCAGGTTAAAAACATTCCTGTTTAACTGTGCATACAACTGAGGGATTTTATATTGTTATCTTTCTTTTTAATGTTCTGTGATATTTATGATTTTAATGCTATTTTGTTTTGTTCAGCACTTTGAATTGCCTTGTGTATGACTTGTGCTATATAAATAAATTTGCCTTGCCTTGCCTATTAGAGTAGGAGTAGTGGTAGTGGTGTAGTAAGTAGCAGTTGTGTATACCTTAGTTATGGCAACCCAGTTTGGCAATCCATCTATTTTCTTGCGCTTTATTGTTGCTGGTTCCTGGGGTCAGCAGTCTAAATGGAGACACCTTGAGTTGCCTCTTCACACTGGGAAGTCTTGGCACCTGCGTGAGTCTAGCTCATCCAGGGGAATCCCGAGGCATTCCCAGGCCAGCTGAGAGACGTAGTCCCAGTTTGACAAGGCATCACCCCCGCAGCCTCTCCCCATACCACGAGTGACGGTTCGGATGACATTTATGAGACATGAACCACATTACGGTCTTGATCTCATGTAGGCAAATCCAGATTTCTCCGTCCCCATTGTTTTACACTATAGCTCTTCCATATTTCATGTTTTTTTTTTTTCACGTCCAGACTGTATGATGCAATGAGGGAACTATTTACAAGCCTTTTTGATGCTCGTCACATGAACAATGCATTTATCACCCTTTGTCCTGTTTGCTTTTATCTAACGTCTCTTCTCTTTTGTGTGTGCGTTTGTGTCTGAGCAGGTCAAAAAGGCAAGTATTTCTGTTTGTAAATGTGAATTGTCTGTAGCACTAACACTAGACGATGGGCAGCGCTTTGTACGTTTTTTGGTGGATGGTCCAAAATCTGTTCTCCATGATTTCAAAGACTTTGTAATCTCTGACTGTGTCTCCATTGGAAGCATTTCATTAATCAATACATTTTAATGTTTGATATTTGACCATACATCTGGCAGTTCAGGGAAAATTGGAATTATGTTCAAAGTACTTCACCCACATTGCTCAATGCCATGGTTTCAGTAGATATTTGTCAAAAATAAAAACTATGCATTTTCAACCACACTATACTGTATATCACAAAAGGAGATACATGAAAAATTAATTATTGTTGTACATAATTAGAGTAGTCTTGTATCCACTTAAAAAAATCTGAGATGATAATTCCTTTTACTTGAAGCTACAGTGTGTCACTTTCTGGAGGTGGTAAATAATGAGAAATTAACTTTATATAAAGTATTTTCTAATTTGCAATTATACTACAGGCATAATTTCTATCGTGTGGGTTGAGTCGTCCCCGTCAGTGTTCTCCATTCAGACCCTCCACCATAAATATTACATCGCGCTCGAGCCTCCGTCACCATAGTGATTGTACATACATATGCCACACATGTGTTGGGCTGTCACTAATGATTCTTTTGTAGTTGACTCATTCTCAACTGTACATTCAGAAATACATTTAGGGTTCGTTTTAATGGCCGACTTTGATCATCAGTGGCTGTAGACTAGTTGCAGTCCATCTCACCCACACCGTACTCAAGCCGTGCTGCTCTGACCCATGTGTTTCTCCTCTAAAGCCATGGACACGATCCAGCTGGAGCAATTCGACAAGTACGGCTACACCTACATCGCCCCAAGGTGAGGTCGGCTTATAGAGGCCATTATACTGTATTCAAGTACTGCAGAGTCCCAGGAAGTGTCTTAGCTTGGGCCCAGATCTAGTCTGTCTGTGGGCCGGTCAGCTCTCAATGATCCACTATTAGTTGAATACAAAGTGGACCAAAAACTATTGTTATTGCTTGTTATGAAATGACTAATGTTAAGTGGGTAAGTCATCTTATTGAGGTGCAACAAATTATGATAGCAAGAGTTTAAAAACAGCATTTGTGTACATTTCAATAATTATATTTGGTTCAAAGTTCTGCAATATCAGTACCAAAAATGTTCAGGTAGATCAGCTACAGTTGGCTTTTAACGTAAGAATTGACAAGTACCAACAGTGTCCAATCCAAAAGACGCCTAACGGTATTGAATAAAGGCAGCCTCCAACTGCAACGGGATGAATAAATGATGACACTGAGATGAAGTCTACCTCCTGAACAGCATGATGCGTCTTTCTCGGTATCTGCACCGTTGGCTATACCACACGCAGAGATGCCGCCATTGCATTCTGACGCACGAGAGAGAACGCAGCAAAACATGGTGGTAACGTTACTCTACTCATAGTTTTGATTTTGATCCATCGAACCTCAGATCTACCTGGAAATTGCCGGAGATGTTATCACGGAGCTGACATTGTGAAGCCCAGAACCCATGTGCAGATTTCTGGTGCATTGATTTAAGCCTATTCTTAGTTAAAACTTCTATTCTCTGGGTCAATTTTCTTGTGGCTTCGTCCTGTTGATAGCACCACAGTGGTTTACTTCCGCTGCTGTAAAGAAATAAGGTGTTATTTTCACGACTCAACAATGAAAAAATGAAGGCCTATGCACCAAGTGTATCCAAAATCCTTAATCAATCTGACAAACGGCCAGTGAGCTATTTAAGCCACTGAAAAACAACCAATAATTTCCCGCGCTATTGCTATATTTGCTATATGGAGAATGTTTTTATTGAGTAGATCACACACACACATCTGCTTGAGGTGAGCGCCCCCTTGTGTCTGTCCAGGGAGTACTGTAAAGAGCTGAAGATGTCCAACAACAACAGCCAGTTCCTCCATGACTTCAACATGTACATTGACCGGAACACACCAGATGCCTGTGAGTAACTCTTGAAAACCCTAACCCAATGCATGAAATTATTAATTATTCATTATGTGACACTAGCGGCTAAATTGATCTAATAGAAATAACAGAGTGACAAAAAACACATGTTATGGGGGTCTGGGCAGATTCACTGAACTTAATAATAATCCAAGTTGGTGGCTGCTGTCTGAAGTTGACATTGGTCACTTGCTTATCGACCACTGGCTGTGTTTGTTATTTTTCAGTGAATTTTTTGTATTTTCTGGATACATCTACTGCAAAAAGTGATGAAAAATAAGTCATTTAAAATTTGGCATTGTATCTTCATTTGTGCACATTTTGTCTGTCTTTTAAAAATATTTGCCAATGGGACAAGCAACATGATTTTATCTCATAATTGTATTATTTTTTGCAGCGTAATATATTTTTTTACTCTAAAAATCCGTAGCCACACTCCAGTCAATACTCTAACGTATCACATCTGAAATTCCACACTTCACTTGTTTACTCATCACGGCACTCTAACTTTGACAACAGCAGCACACAGACGTCCCGGGCCGGTGAGGACATTAACTGGGTGACACCATAGGGTGACATCAGTTTCCCCGAAGCCAATATGCTTACTGTAGCCCAGGGCTGAGTCACACGCGGGCCCAGTCATCACCTAATGGAGCTGCTCAAACCATCCACATCAGAAAATGGATTTAAGAGCGCAAAAGTCAGGCAAGGTCAGGGCTGTGTTTACACTGCAGTAGTTTGTGTGATTATGGGAAGTGTGTGAAGGTGTAGAAGGCAAAGATCCCAGTCAGGAGATGGGATGGGATGAAAAACCAGCATGGATTATCTTTGACAATCCATGACAAAGTGAGTGGTTGGGCTTTCTGGTGGTGTGTATGACAGGTTTGTGCCTGCATGGGGAAAACTAGTGATAGAACCAAAGAGTTTGACATGGATTATAATATTTATTGTTTGTGGTTTCAAAATTACACTGCAAAATAAGTCAGACATTTCTCAAGTTTGGCAAATCAATCTCAATCTTAAGTTGAGTTCATTCTAACTGTCTTAAAACAAGGTTGGCAATGGGGAAAAAGCCATTTAGTCTTATTTAAAAAACTGTTGCTTTATTTTCTCATTCCAAGGGAGACATTTTGATGATTGGGCTTGTCCCATTGGCAAATTTAGTTTGAAGGCAGTCAAAATGTGCTTTTTTGAAACCACAAAAAAATAACTAATATAATCCATGTCAACATATTTGGTTCCGTCACTAGTTTTGGCTTCTGTCACATCTTTAGATCAGTCTGTTCAATGAAAAACCAGCCTAATATAAAAGTAAAATGTTTTCTAAAAAGATGAAGATGTAATACAACATATGGTATTCATTTTTATAGAAGACATTTGATCCAATTTATATTATTTGTTCACACAATATTAATTAAACGAGTCTGTCTGTTGGAACAAGAAAAGGGCACAATATGTACCCTTTTAAATCCTGTCCAAACCCGAACAGAACAGTCATTTCCCTTTTGCCAAACGTGGTTCTTTTAACCACTAAGTGTCCCGTGGAGGTGCTTACAACACTCTGGGGATCTGAGACTTCTTGGACAGTACATCTCCCGAGCTCCTCGACGTCAGGGAAGACAAAAACACGGAAACTCTGCAGCTCATGATTCATCGCACGCTCCTCATACTGTGACCACGGGAATAGAACCAGTCAAGGGAGCCAGGATTGATGTCTTGCTCAGTGGCATCAATTATGAACACAAGGACTGCAAAGAGAAGTTGAAAAATACAGGGGTTTCCTTATGTTAATTTCAATGTGAATGTATTATCAATTTCAAGATAATTACATTTGGTTTATTGATTTGTATCGATTGAGTTGCAGTTTTATTTTTTGCTTCAGACACATACTATGAAGAGGCATTAATTAAAGGGGACATACGTTAACTTACCACAGCATTTCAATTCAATGTATTTAACAACTCAATATTTTCATTTATTACACGGTTCCTCACAGCAGCAGTAGAGTAATTTCAAAACGTTCTATCGGTCATTATTTCTTGATAACGGACCTCTCAAAACAATAATGCTTGTAATTCATGTGTGTAGATTACTCCGCAAGTAGTTCCGGCCACTCCGGAGCTAGCCATGCTCAATAAACACAAATACCAAACAATCAACACATTTAAATGTTGATCAGAGAATACATTATACATATACATTCTTAATATACATGCACATAGGATTTCAGATTTATCTGTTAAGGTTTCCATGACAAAATTCTGTTTTAATGCGAGAATAAGCAAAAAATCCAGAAGTAGATTCCGGGACATTTTAGGAACATTTGCAGAGGATCGAATAATGGATTTAGGTTAAGTTTATGTTTGGATCACTCACTGCTGATGTTCAGAATTCTTTGTTCAGTTTTCATGCAGTTCCAGAGAGTTCTAGTTTGGAAGTTGCTAGCCTAACTGTTGCTAGCATAGCCACGGGAAAGTCTTTGGGAACTATTTTATTTTCTGTCATTAAATAAACCTTTCGGCATTCCTAAAAGTGGACTGAAGTTTATTTTGTGTGTTCTGTTGGTACAAAGCTGAAGAGTAAGCGGGATACCTGCGTACTATACATTATCCCTTACATATCGCATATTCACAACAGCGGTCGCCTTAGGACTTGCAGTTGTTGATTCGCAAACAAAAGATTAGCGAATAAAGCAATTAGAACACAGCCAAGGCAGTTTGACTCAATGCTTTCCCTTGTTTTTCACTCGCTACACTTCAATGGACCAATGGCTCTTTGGTGTTATATTGATGTACATGTATTTCTGTGTTTTCTAAACTATTGTCCTCTTAAGATCACTGTAGCAGACATAAGCATCTTATTATTCTTTCGTGAAAGCCCTGTAACTGTAGGACTATTGTTAGCATAATTCTATTTTACTTTTTATGCTGTTACATTATAAAATATTGCTACCAACATGCCACACTATGGGTCGAAATACACCATAGTTAGCAATTAATTATTGGAAAATCACAAGCTTTAGGGTCATATTTATCAGCCAAAAGATGATTTTAAGAGTGCAATCATTACAATATCACAAAAAATCTGTCTTAAAATTGCTCTGTTTTGGCAATGACTTGGGTATAACAGGAAAACTGGACCCAAAGCTTTTAGTGAGGCTGGATCACTCCTTACTCTCCCATGCTGTGGACATCATGGACGATTTCAAAACACATTTGTTTTAGAGGATCAATTGACATACGTTTTTTTGTGTTTTTAGGTAATATTTCCCTGGTGAGCCGTCTGATCCTGGACGCTGGGCTGACCGCAGAGCTGGTGGAAGTCTGGACTGAGCAGAATATGTAAGTTATGTATGGAATGACTGGCATGTAATCAAACGTGTTCCATGGGCACACATATTTACATATTTAAGGACGCATTTAGTTGACCGCTGTTGTGGTTGCTTTATGACTGCATGTGAGCATTAAGAACTGGGAATATGGTTTGTGTGTGGACAGATATGAGGAAAAGGATGGAGTTGATATATTTAGGAGGACTTCACACACAAACGATTTTTCACAGCATCTGATTTTTATTACGTTTCCCTTCTCACTTTCGTCGATGCACTCAAAGTTAGTTTATAAGATGCAGTCATCTGACCACCACCATCACACTTTATTCCCATGTTTGTTTCTGAATCTGTGATACATAAATGATTCCTCTTTTCATTTCATTTTCAAATATTCCACAGTTCTGTTGACATTTTGTAAAGGGCCAGATGTGCTAACGAGATAATAATGTTCCACAGGTCTCATGAGCGGCTTTTTTCCGTAGTTTTTTAATTGGGAATTTCAGAATTGGCATCAAAACCATTGCTTGGGCCTGCGTTTCGTTCTCTGATGGATTTTATATTTTACCTTAATTAAGTTTTGAGTAGTTGCAATAATCATCATAATCATGGAAAGGCAGCGGTGCGCAATCTGGTGGAAATCCACAAGAAAAAGCACAACCTCTTTAACAAGACACAGACACCAAGGCAAGTTTATTTGTGTAACACAGTTCATACAAAAGGTAACGCAAAACAAGATAACAACAAGGCATTCAAATCATAAAAAATAATTATAACATAAATATAGTGAATATAAAACCCCTCAATTGTATGTACAGTGTGACAAAAATGTTTTAAACTGGGATTTGAACATTATTAGGTAAGATTGATAGATAAATAGATAGATACTGTAGATAGATAGATAGATAGATAGATAGATACTGTAGATAGATAGATATAGATAGATACTGTAGATAGATAGATATAGATAGATACTGTAGATAGATAGATAGATAGATATATAGATACTGTAGATAGATACTGTAGATAGATAGATAGATAGATAGATATATAGATACTGTAGATAGATACTGTAGAAAGATAGATAGATAGATATATAGATACTGTAGATAGATACTGTAGAAAGATAGATACTGTTGATAGATAGATAGATACTGTTACGGCCCGGCTCGTGAGACCATAACATGAGAGGGAGAACACGACAAACGGAGAGATTTAAACCCTCTGTGGGGCATTTATTTTAACAATAACAAAGTAATCTGTATAAAATCAGTGTAAGTGAGTTGTATGCTGTGGGGTGCAAGGTGTTGTATATGAAAGTCAGTAGGACAACCGTTGTGGTGCGTGTAAATGAACAAACAAACTGGCGTGGTGGCTGGTCCAACAGGGCCCAGAATGGTAGCGGCAGTCCGGGCACGCCGGCAGGTTCCCAGAAGCCAGGTGGGAGAGAGTGAGGCCCTTTTTGAAGCATCCGGGAAGTCACACGTGACTTCCCAGCTGCCTCCCATCATCTCAGCAGAATGTCGTACAAACACTGCCACCACAGGCCCAGCAGAGGGGGCCGTCACAGATACTGTAGCTAGATAAAGATACTGTAGATAGATAAAGATACTATAGATAGATAGATAGATAGATACTTTATTGATCCCTTGTAGGAGAAATTCAGGTATCCAGCAGCAGAAGACTCATCCAGGTCTGTTGTTCAGTCTGACAGCCGAAGGAACAATGGATCTCTTGAAACGTTTGAAGCCTGTCTCACATTGTCAGGAAGACTTGCAGATTTTAGCTGCATAAATCTGAAACGCTACTTCCCCATGTTTAGTTCTGACTCTGGACACCAACAGGAGACCAGTCCCTGTGCTCCTTTGAGTCCAAGTTGGTTAATATAAGGCTTTCGATAGCTTGGTGTGCAATAACTTAAACTAGGTATGATATGGTTCAAGAGAATGCAAAATTGGGACTGGGACAAAATAAGTAAATAAATGGGTTTTTTAAGCTATTATAAAACTTTGAACATCTCTTTGTCTACCTTCTACACTGTACTCTAATACAACATTGTAGATGTTTTTGGGTCTAACCACAAATAGGAGAAAAGCAACACAGCAACAACTATTTAAAAACAGAAAACGTGTTACTTTTATGACACTTTTAGATTTCAATGGTTTTAAAATATCAGCCCAATAGAAGCAGCAGGTGGCTACATAGTTCCCATAGTTATCACATGCCCACTTCTGCCTAGCATCTCTTCACACATCTTTCCCACTTTGAAGCTTTGTAAATAGTACGGTCCGATAAAAGTTGTTCACACCCAGCCCCCGTCAGCCTCGCCAACAGATGCATGGAATAAACGCAACAATAATTACAACGGCGTGTTTTTCATTTATCGCAGCGCCTGCAACTACCCTGTAATCTAAACACATTTCAACATGCGACGCTGTTAGCATGATAAGGTTAGCATAAGTGCCCATCGCAAACAAAAGCCAAGAATGCTAACAAAGAAGTCAGTTGTACCCTCGCCTTGTTTTTGTTGTTGTTGCGTCACACATGAGTTGGCCGTAATATAAAGCAGAGAAAGGTATAGGTTTGTAAATGTCTGGTAAATTAGAATTTTCTGAGATTTGGCAATACGAAAGGCTTTGTTTGAACAAGCTGCCATCCATAGAAATGACTTCAAGATGGAAATTAGGGCAATGCACACACATTCAATCCAATCCAATCCACTTTATTCATATAATACATTGTGCTGCACAATAAAATACTTATTAAAACAAATCCATAGTAAAACAGTAAAATCATGAACATTAAACATGAAAAACTCTGTGTTCATATATGTATAGATATAAAAATAGCAATTAAACAAAAAATAAAATAAAAGGACATTGGTGAGGTTTACAGCTGTTTGGTCCATTATCAGGTATTATAAGGTACTATATAACAGGGCTTTGAAAAATTATCAATTTTGTTGTTACATTTCATTTGATGATTTGTGAGAAATGGCACACAATTGTGAAGTGTAAGAAAATGTATATAATTATTGTATCGTATCCTTTTATTTAAAAAAGTTGCCTGATGATTTCTAATCGGAGTGTAGTCGGTATATTTACATCTGTTCTGTGACGGCCTCAGAGGTTTGTCAAGAGAATATTGGTCACTAAACAACATCATGAAGTCCAATGAGCTGCACCACATAGCTCGATGATGGGTTTGTTTTATTTTGGTCATCACATTAATAAAGTTACACTTCAAACATATGATATAATTCAATGAATTGCAACAAAAAAAGGAATAGGCCTGAAGAAATTCCTAAATGTTATGGAGAAGTTTAAGCATGGTTAGGTGCAAATATTTGTTAAACTTTGAACATCTAATTTTGTACCTTCTACACTGTAATAATTAATAATTAAAATAATAATCTTTATCTGCGCTTTTATAAAACAATATTTACAAAGCACTGCACAGTCAGGATAATAAACAATGAAACAGTCATAATACAAAGTCAACATAATTAGATAGGGTAGATACAGAAAGACAAAGCAGACAGAGCAAACACAAGAAAAAATACACAACAGAGACAAAGCAGACAGTAAAACACAAAATGGGAATTAAACGCGGTTTGATAAAAGTGGGTTTTAAGAAGTGTTTCGGCCGCTAACAGGCCGTACAGCCTCTCCTCCGCTCAGGTGGAAGCAGTGCTCATTGGTGCGCGTGCGTCACACACGGAGCCGCGCCTTTAAAGATTGTGCACATGCCAGAGATTCCTGTTGGCTCATCCTGTTCCCATCCTGACACCTGCGTGTCCCGCCTCCTTTTTGGTATGGTTTAGTTTGGTTTGGTTCGTCTAGGTTCGTTTTGGTTTATTTTCTACACACTATTCAACACTGCAGACATACACACACTCGCACACACTCACTACAGACTTCCACACCTCATTAAAATATTAGCTTGGGTTATCAATAAATATTATTTAAATTGGCAACTGTGGTTTGGCATGTTTCTGTCATTTCAATTGAGCCGGGTTATGACAGAAGTGAATTAAAGGAGGATACTGAGGGTGCTAGCCTTATCTCCTTGGGCAGATCGTTCCAAAGTCGAGGATCCCAAACTCTAATACCAGATTGTGGAGGTATACCCACTAACGGTTGATAATTGAACTGTCACGCTGGTTGTTGTCACCTTGGAAGGCTCTCTCTCTGTCCCTCAATCTCAGACCAGACGAAACAGCGCATGTAGTTATTATTAACGTTTGTTAAGAGGAATAACCCCTTGAGATGAATCATCTCGTTTCCGAAGGGGTCTATGTAGCTATAGAGGATTGGCCAAGTGTGGGTGCTTTGGAAAAAACTGGTCAAACCTACCCTCTCCCTCAGACCAACATGGACCCAACATGGACCCAACGATTCCCCAAACCAGGGAGTGAATGCACCCTCATCCCGAGCAGAGGCTGGATTCACTTGGCTGCGCGGAGGCTAGGTGAGCAGCCTTTTAGAGCTCCTCTGTGTAACAGGATTTTGCTGACTTAAGAGCATTACAAAGGCCCACTAATGAGAACAACAGGTTTAGTCCTCTCAGAATGGGGGAAAGTGAAGCAAATCCTACTGTCACTGCATGCTGAAGGAGGATTCAAATGGATGAGCTTTTGTGATGCTAAAACACAAGCCTCACAGCGTAATTGATTTGGTAGTATTTATTTACAGCACAGCTTTGGATTTAAAAAAAAATGTTTTCACGTCAAGTGGCTGCAGTAGTAACATCCACAGATATATATTGGAAATAAGAGAACTCTATATTCTTGACTAAATATAGCTCTCAATTGTTTTACAGTCTGATCTGGCTTTTTGTCTGTGTTGTTTGTTGTAATGTAAAGCGCTTTTCCAACTCCTTTGTATATGAGATATGCTTTAAAATGGATTTGACTTTTAACCGTTTTATGGTTTCCTCAACCATTTGGTGAGTCACTATATACTGTATCTACTTGAAGCTTGGAACCGAAATCTACCTCATTAGGACATCACTGTCATTTAGTTTTATTTGAGAGGCCTGTAATAAAATTTTTGAAGTGACTTACAGCTAATTTACACCGGAGGCGTTACAGCACGTACTGTACGCGTTATACGCGCAGCAGACGTGCATAACATTTTTCCATGTAAACCAATGGTGATATTTACACTAGTCCCCGACTCCACTGACTGCATAAAACGTACTACGTATCCAAACGGGTCCGTCCAAACGTGTCAGTTTCATCTCCGTTTCCGTTTTCTCCATGAGGGTGAATGGAAGTGGCTCCACTGCTCGCAACATACGTCTGTACGACACATGTAGGGAGCAGTGCGGGCATGCAGGTTGCAACTGACGCGGACGGATGAAATAGAAACACTCCTATTTTTTACGTACGTTGACGTGCGTATGGTCAGTTTTCCTTTGGAAATACAAAGGAAAAATATATCTACTATATTATTATATATGTATTGCTATAAGCTCGTAGTCCTTTGTTATAAGTGTTTGTTAATGACAATGATTATGAATAATGGGTTTTAAATTGAAATCATTGTTTCCTGATCGTATATCTGCCATTTGTTTTTCATGTAATGTCAATATTGACTCTTTTCTCTCTCCACTCCTATTTAAGTTTTGCCTCATCCATCGCCACGTCCTCGAATCACGGGGGGGGGGTCTTTGGCTCATTGGCTCATTGGCTCATGATCAGCTCCACACACACACACAGCACCTGTATCTAAACATTTGCAGGAGGAGCAGCAGGTTTTACAGTGATTCTGGACATTGTTTTTTTTTTTCTTTCGTAAAGTCTTGCGTCTGGCCAGACAAACACATGCATGTTATTTGTGTTGCTCAACATTAGTCCTCTGGCCCATACTGTCGTCTACACTGCCCCATAGACTACACAGGGAAAGCATCAGAAGGCCAGTGGACATACTGCCAAGTCATGTTACGCGCCTATGCGTGTAGTCAACGCCTACTGTGTAAATTCTCTGTTAACAAACAAAAAATGTTGTGGACAAATAATTTAAGGTTTGCTCAATTGTAAGACAGGGCCCTTGTTACGTGGTCTTACTTAGCTGCAGGTGCCCCACCTGATGTTCCCCAGGTTTCCCATCATGGTATTAACCAGGCTCTGCCCTGCTTAGCATTGGAACGTTGATGGGATCTGACTTTCATATGCAGGTGGCACCACAGTTAAAGATTTAAAAAAAGGCCAAAACTACATGCATGAGAAAACAAATGATAGAATAAAAAAGATTTGAGAGCGAAGTTCTAGTAAGATGGATTTTATTACATCGTTATACATTTTTGTTTTTTAATTGTTAGGTACCCCGGCTTTAACTTCATAGCAAAGCAAAGCACAGCATGCTCTTTACAACGTGTGCTTTTGCATTCTTGTGTTGCAGAGACGGAGTGGTTGCCAGGTTTGTAGCTACAGACGGAGGCATCACTAGAGTCTTTCCAAAAAGGTACTTTCTTTCTCTCTGACCCCTCTCTCATTCCATGTGTCCTCTCGGTTTCAAATGCCCCCTGATCGGCCTGTCGGATGTAAACAGATCCTGATGTGGGACACTCCTGGGTCTATAACTGGAGTGTTGGCCGCCCCTCTCACCTGCTCCATGTTGGATTAGTCTTTAAGCACAGATCAGTGGAGCCTGCCAGGGACAGGCTCTCTAAGGATGTGAGCTATAGTGCTGCTTTCATTCAGGTGCTGCAGGAACTCTGCTTGAGAAGGCAGGTATTCCTGTTATCTCACAGTCTTGACTTTCTCGTCACCAGTTAGGTGACTGATGTAGTATATATCAAATTATCAAATTAATTTCCTGGCGTTAGAAAATTTATTGTATACGTAGTTTATTAATTTAATCCTCTCATGGCCCAATTGAATTTGAATGACAAGAAAGATCCCTTAATAATCTGTTTTTGCTGAGATCAAGGAGACTGGAATTTTGGAAGTGAGAAAGCTCCGCCCCCAGATGAGCAGGTGGAAAACTGTGTGTTTCTAAAACTAAGTCAAAAAATGGTACTTCTGGGTAAAAAAGGGTCAAAAATATGGATGTGGAGTAGTTGGGTAATAAGAATGAATTTGTTCAAATCTGCAACGCCTGCCTACCTGAGAGGGTTAATTTTCAATGCACTAAATATACAGTGGTCAACTGTTTGTTATTAAGTAGATCTACAGAAATGCTTCAAACCAGCTTTTAGTGTTAGAAGGATTTTCTTCATAAATGGCTCTTTCCTTCTGCGAACTCTGTAACACAACCTTTGCAATACATACAGTATACAAAATACATTTAAAGCAGGTATTCAGTGTAACTGAATGCATTTTCAAAGTATTCTCCTCAAACCTGCATGAAAGCCTATTGTGAGCTCACCTTTGGATGTGTGAATCTCGTCCGACATTCACAGACCTACATTTCTGCTCTCCCTCACGGCCAGCACACACAGAATACATTTGCATGGTCTGTAACATTTCTGGCTCTAGTATTGGCTTTGCGATTATTCAGTCCATCTTTCATCACTTGACATTTGATTTTCAGCGCTGGGGCCGACTGGTTAGAGAATCCCGAGCCGTATGAGTGCAGCTCGTACAAGAGGGCCCTGGACAACGAGATCTATATATTCACTGCACCCATTTATAACGGTATGTAACAGACCGTGTTGGGGATTTTATTTGTTGGGTTTTTTGGGATCTTATTTGGCATATATCAGTGTTGTTCCACCGGTGGGACTTGGTGATGTTGCTTGGTGTGCCTTTGGAAATCATTCAATAGAGATACAACAAAATGGGAAAAGATTAGAAATACAGTAAGTTTTTGAACTTGTTTTTAAAAAATATATATATTACTGATGAGAATGACTGCATTGTTCATAAAGGCTGCCGAGTTTCAAGTGTAGTTTTGAAGTTTTCCGGTTTCAGCTGGTGCCCACACACCAGCTGAACAATGAGATGTTGATGGACAGATGGAAAGATGGATGGATGGATGGACGTAGGTTTGGTTCATTCATTATTTGTTACGTTCATTTGGTCGGATTATTCTTCAGTACAAGGTTATTTGGGACGACAGTGGCTCAATTGGTAGAGCATTGGCCTTTGAGCCTGAAGGTCGTGGGTTCGAGCTCACCACGGGACCTTCTCCACCGACTCCCACTGATGCCTGCTGTCGTTGTGTCCTTGGCAAGACACTAAACCTCTGGGAACACCTGGTGCCACAGTGGGGTGTGTGTGAATGGATGGTGGTTGTCGGAGGGGCTGCTGGCACATACTGGTTGCCTCGCTTCTGTCAGTGTGCCCCAGGGCAGCTTTGGCTACAGTAGTAGTTTATCACCATTGTGTATGGAGTGAAAAAATAAAACATGTGAAGTGTGCCCAATACAGCGCCATATACTGTAAAACCGATAATTATTATTACTATTATCAGTATAGCACAAACAGAACTGTATTGTTAACCTGGACTTGATCATTAGAAGACTGTTCCGGATTTTACCTACATTAAACTGATATGTTTAGTCCTATAGTTGTTCCTTGGGCATGTAATCCATACTCATTCAACAGTTCCAGAGGGTATATGAAAACTCTAAAATCCCCTATAAATTTAGAACCCACTGGAAATGGTAGAAAGACATGAGCTAATACGGTCTTCAAGTTCAAAAGCAAATACAGGAAAAGCGTTTTCACACCTGTTACTTTGTTTCATATTTAATTTACTGCACATTTTTAGCTTCTTCATATTTTTTTTCTCTGAGCCAATTAACTCTCTTGGGTTTATATTCTTTCCAGTGTTATTAGGAATATTATGACGCTTCTGTCTGGAATATGAGCGTTCGCTAATCTCTAAATCTCTGCTATCCCTGAGAGCCTGATGAGTAAGCTGCCTGCTCACCGCTACAAATATGCCAAAAATGAATCTGATCATTTGGTGGTATTATTTAAAAGAAGGAGAGATCATATGTATGTTCCTCTTAAAGCCTCTAATCCCAGCTCCTCTATGTGTCAATGTGTGGTCCAACAAGCTCTATACGCTTGTCTTTACCTCCAAAATATGCATTTTTAGCGTTTATATTCAGTTTTTTCTGTATGTACATGATACTGACTGTCTCTTTTCACACCTTTTTCTTTTGGTGTGGTATATAAGATTAGTAATTCTACACCTCCCCGTGGCAGTAACATAGGAATAGAGCTTGCAGATGGTTTCATACTCTAATAAATCTAATTATGAGTTTGGATGGCCATAATGAATGCATAACATGTCTTCATTAAAGGCACAGTATGTTCTATTTTTATTTCGAATTAAATCTATATATTTTATATATCTCCTCAGAAATTAACATAAAATAGAATGGACATGATTTACTTAAGAGATCATAAACATAAATATTATCAGATCATCCAATCAGAGAGCGAAATGAAGCCCTCATTTGCAGTGAAAGTTTGCTAGGTGAAATGTAGCTGCATGCATAATACAGAGTGTGTATTGTTGATTACTAAAATCTAGCTGGTGGATTGCATCAGTAATCAGTTCTTAGGAGCTATATGTGTCACAGGCAGGAAGATTATTTTCACAAAAGTTGGAATGTAATTGTAATGACTTAATTTGACCACTAAAGGAACAAGCTGTTCCTTTATAGAAGCAAATAAAAAATGTCAGTTTGACTCAATTCAAGTAAGAAACAAAGTTACAACTGTCTATAACAAATAAATTCTGACCCCATAAAAAAAAATTTGATTCCCTGACATTTTTACATTTTACAATCTCTTTCATTTCAATTGTAACCATAAAACTGCTCCAGCCCTCCACAATATGGAAATGGCTCCGACTCTGGGCGCTCTACGTTTAATTCATCTGTATAAAACTGTTTCTGAAATGACTGGCACAAAAAACTGATTGCACAATATTCAAAAATATTTCAAGTCCCTCTTAACTTATTTTTTATCATTTAATAATTCGCAGTGCAGAGGCTCACAGGTACAAAGCTGTATCAGTGCCGTACTTCTACATTTCATCCACGCTTTCTTATCCAGTTCACGTCGAGATTAGAAGTAGACATTTCAGAGGGATACGCAAAGTCATTAAGGAGCACAACGATATCCCTGCTGCACTTTAATGAGGAACATAGCGTTTTTACAAGCTCTTATAAAAGTGGATTTTGCTAAATACTGTATGTTTCCTCGTAAAAATGGCCCCGCACTCCCTCTGTCCATCCATCATCCAAACGCCTGGATCTGGAATTCCCCTCAATAAGCTGTGATTGCTTCCAGTTCATCCACCCTCCCCTGTCTCCATTCTTCTGTTTCATATCTGTCCAATTGTCTATCTTTCTAATTGTAACGCTCCAAAATGAAATACATTTGTTCAGACAAATAGGTAAGATGATGATGTAATTTCCTTCATTCTTCACAACAGCTGGTGTCTTATCGGTAGATCGTCCCAAGCGTGGGATTTTCTCATCGGAAAATAATTGCAATGTAATATAGAAAATCCTGATGAAATGATCTGAGTAAACATGCATTAGTGAAGCAGGGATGGAGATTATACGCAGACAAAATGAACATAATGAGTAAATGCTAACGATGGATCTAGGAAGAATTAGAGTGCTAATGTAATGTTTCAAGTTAGCTGCAAGGGTATTTGTATGGCACAATTCATACACAAGGCAACTCAAAGTGATAAACAAAACAAGGCAGACACAACAAGGCATCAAAATCATAAATAATCACAGTACATTAAAAAGAGTTCAGATAAAATCTCTTTGTATGCAGAGCTAAACAGAACTGTTTGTAACCTAGATGTGAAAATTATCAGAGAAGAGGCCTGTCTCACATTTTCAAGAAGACTGTTCCAGATTATAGCTGCGTGAATCTGAAATGCAGTCTCCCCTTGTTTAGCTCTGACTCTGAGCACCAGCAGAAGGCCAGTCCCTGTGCTCCCCAGAGTCTGAATTAGTTCATATTGCATTATTATGTCACTGATGTACTTTGGTACGAGGCCATGGAGAGACTTGTACACGAGCAGAGCTGAATTAAAGTCTATTTTCTGAGCCACAGGAAGCCAGTGCAAAAAAGGTTTTGAATGTACTGCAGCTGTTTTTCCTGCTCGTTTGGAGAGACCTGTGATGACTGACTGCATATGAATACATTAACTAACATCAGCATTATAAATGACATACTTTAATATGTTGGAAAGTGTATGTCAAATGTCCATCCATCTATTTTTTCTTCTCCGTAATCCATTTCTGGGTCGGGGGGTGGCAGTCAAAGATGCCACCCAGTACACAGAGCACCAGTTCTCACTGATCCTCCTGCAGGTGGTGAGTCCACAGGAGCCAATGTGATGCCAGCTTAATAATGTTCAAATGTTTGTAAAAGAAAAAAAGGTCTAAAAAATCCCTGTTCCTGGCTAACAAAAAAGCCAAACTGACCATCTCACTCTTTTTCTTCCCTGTGTATCCCTTCTGCAGGGGAGTCCCGGGAGCAGGTCACTGAAACCGGCATCCTGGTGAGCAAAGCCGTGGCCCTGACTGTAGACGAGGTCACCCTGAAGCCCGCAGGTAAGTCTTTCAGCTGACGCCCCGGGGCATCGGGAGTAATGATGAAAAATCCTGCATTTTTCATTGTGTCGGCTGACCCGCTCTGTTTGTGATCCGTAGTGGTGGGAGTCAAACTCAATGTCACATACTGGATGAACACTTTCATTAATGCCACTCTCAAACTGAATGTAAGTGGTGTCTCCTGTTGTGCATGCACCGCACACATTAGCATTAGCCTCATGACCTGGTTAGCATGTCACAGTGATGGGACCTCTTCACAGCACCGCTCGGCTGGTTCCGCTTGTGTCAATAGTGTGGATCTTCTCTTTATCGTCCCATTCATTCTCTTTATTATGCTGGCATCACGTTGTACATGGATAACGAAAGGCAGTATGTTCAGATGTTTGGTGTTGAAAGGCAGTAAACATGAATATTTACTTTACTTTACAGTATTAAAATGCTTGGCACATCCATCTCACAGTCAAGTGCATCAGACGAACCTAGCGCTTTGATAAATGAAGGCCTCCCTCTCAGTTGTCCTCTTGACCTCTCGAAACATTGCTCATGTGTGTACAGTATAAACATTCACAAGTAAATAATCGTGTAGTAATAAGTGTAAAAATATGCCTGTATGATGGATCAAGACCAGGATAAGCAACAATCCTATATAGTTGTAGAATCTACGGTTTTATCTTATAATAAGGTACGCTACTGTAAGGAATAGAATTTGACAAGACACATTCTCATGTCATGTCATTTTCTACCCCTTCTATTATTCCATTTCTGGGACTGAGGGGTGGCAATCAGAGCCGCCACCCAATGCTCAAAGAACCAGTCCCTCGCTGATCCTCCTTCAGGTTGTGGGTCCACAGGATGAATTTTTACACAAAAACCCAACAACCTAAAATATTACAATCTAGGGCCTGGGTTCGATCCCTGACTTTGCCCAAAATATAACAATTGTAAACCGCTTTTTGACTCTGGTCTGTGAAAGGCGGTATATAAATAAAGATTACTTACTTACTTACTTTGTGGTGTGAAAATGCTCCATGAAATTAAGTGAACATGGATCAAGCTATTGGATGGCTTATATAATATGTCATATCATAAACCTGGTGATCTTACAGGATATACACACAAAGGTGATACAAGAAACTCAAATGTACCAATTCTGTGATATTGTTATTATGCAGCTTGTGGCCTTGTAAGACGGAGTAAATGGTACTGAATACTACCCACCTCATGAGTCATCCAGCTATGACTTGCAGTTTGCCATGAGATAATGAAGTAAGGATTTATATTTCCAATGCCATGTGTTTCCATATTTCACCCAAAAGCTTGAATGTAAAGACAAGAGAAGAGCTGCACTATAGGACAGCTGGGACTAGCCGTGCAGTATGGTGCAAAAGGCCTATAGACTCATTCATAAACACGTCTGACCAGATGGCCGGGTACACAAAGCCATCTGAGGCGTCCTCAAAGTCTTTGCTCAGGCAACTACTTTCTGGTCTAAGCTTTGTAGGTGATTGATGAATCGCCTGCAAGTAACCAGGTCATGAAGCACAACCAGAGCAGAGCATGCTACTGCCGGACACAATTAACACAATTGTTTTTGAATATTGCTTTAAGAACAATGTACTCATGTATTGTGTTTTGCCTCAACTTACAATTGGCAGTAGCTATTATGAATGTTCTTCCAATAATGTATATACTGTATATTAATGTTATTTATGTGTTATTTTGTATGTAATTCTACAAATGAAGACATTTTACATCCAGAACAGTGGGGGCGGTCACTGTTGAGAACCAATATTTCAAATGTGTGTCAGTCAGAGCGGGAAAGCATATTGACAGATTGCATAGCTATAAAAACATGTAGAATAATTTGTTTTGTTCTGTCTTTACTCTTAAATCTTTGACCAATGATTATTCTCATTATTCATTTTTATGAAATGAAAGGCTTAACTAGCGATAGCGCGTGCACAAGGCATTAGCATAATTTTAATCCTGGGGTAATTGGAGATTGCAGTCTTGTCTAAGAAGTTCATTAATAGAGTTTTATACATTTTCAGTCGCTAGAGTTCAACACGCATTTGTTTTCTATAGTGCAAGGATGAAATCTGTGGCTGTCTTCACAATGACAAGGTAATCACAACAAAAGCTTTTATTTTCATTTTGGATGTGATGATTAAATGAGTACTTTGATGTTTTTTTCGTGTAGCATATCAACTGTGTGATTCTGGACGATGGTGGATTCTTGCTCATGTCCAATCAGGATGAGTACATTTCACTGGTGAGAATTTTGAAATACAAAATATGTTGCAGCACACATACAGGACAGTAGTAAGAGCACCCAAAATATACAATATGGTTAGCTGCTATGTTTCTTAGTTTGCTGTAAATGCTTCAATATCAATATATAGATATAGTGGAACCTCTCTTTCACGCAGCGAGGGTGAATAAGTCTCTCACTGAAGCTGCTCTCCAGATAAATGACATGGTGAAATGATATGCTGTTTATGGGAAAACATGTAGAATGGCTAGAGAAACGTTTTTGAGTAGTGGAACAACTCCCTCAAGTGATAGAAGTGGGAAATTACGGTATATTTTACTAAACGTTGCAGCAGCGTGATTTAAGGTACACGTTGTAAAGAATTTAATTGACTGGATAAATTCTCTACTAGAACAATTTTGGAGGCAATACTTCAGTTTTAACTCCTGATTGCATAGTTGGAAACTAGCTGTACAGCTAATACTGAGACATTTGGAGTAATGTTGATAAAATTAAATATAGTCTGATTTTTATGGATTTGTTCCTGATTAGCGTGGATTGAGATTCATACCTTTTCTTTGGCATTTGGTGCTTTAGAGTTTGATATAACATTTGTGGAGGGAAAAAACATAAATAAACAAAATCAGCAAAAATTGACAAGCAACAAAAAACACCCACAATTACATCTGGCAATAAACACTCACTTTTACTAATGCTTTTCAGAAATCACATGCTTTGAGTGATAGATGCTGAAACACCTGACAGTCTGTTTTTTGAGGAGGAAACAATGTCGTAATGCAGCTAAAAACTCCATGAAAAGACATTTTTGACTTGTAGTAGGGAGGGTCCAACATCTGTTCTAAAACATCTCAAAGATATTTTATGGAGGCCTTTATAGAGCCTTTGATAAGCAGATCCCATTTCACTGTTCATTTTGTACGTCCACTGGAGCTCTGCAGCTGGCTCTATTCTTTGAATTATATAGTAGGTTTGTTCATGTCTGTCAAATCTGTTGACACCATGTATTTAATGTCAGTGAAATGCCATGGTCGCTGCTGAGTTGGAAAATTCCCCAGTTTTAAAGCACAAGACGTAATATAATGGTCAAATGAGAACTGAACCATTATTTTTATTCATTTTTCTTATGGCTAACATAAACCATTAAACAAGAGATATTAAGCTTATGTCTGCTATTTAATATATGGCACGCATGGATCATTGAGAATGCTGTTTCAACCACAGTTGAACCTGATGAAATCTCACACAACAAAGAGACAAAGTTAATCTTTTACTTGTTACATTATACAAGGAGAATGTCTTGACAGAGGCAAGGCACAGACCGTAGCCTCTCTCAGGACAAGTCTGAAGATTCACAGTCTACAAGCCCCTTTTGGTAGAACAAGACACACCTTCGTATGCAGATGAGAAAGGAAGAAACCAACACAACAAAAGACACTCCGAATTAGCGTATACAAAGACTGCTTCTCCTGGTGTTTAACATATGAGCTCCCCAGACCTCTCGGAGTTTTGCTGAAGCTAAAGTGAATTACAATACAGAGAATTCAGCACATAGCCACATACGATTTATCAAAATGATAACTTAAATTACATTCCAATAACAATCATCATTATGCATGATGAATTTTCAATCTTATATAATCGATATGCAAGAGCCTGATGAGCACTTTTTTCGCTTAAGAGCTAAAAGTGCAACTCAAGTTTTTCCCACTGATAAGCCTGTGTACCACCCTGATGGTACAGGATCTTGGGGACGCCAACATGGACGCAGCCAGTGGTAACAAGGGTTCACTCAATCCACGGATGAAGTTCGCCATCAGCTGATATGTTTTTCTTTAAGCAGTAATGCCTGAGCAACACCGCCAAATCACCCTTGTATTACAGATTTGGAAAAGAGAATCTGCCACCAATGTGTAAAAACAGTATTTGTGTCACGTCATTGAGGAAATCGTGTTTTGAGGCATGTGAAGTGTTTTTGAGTGTCCAAAAAAAGACTATCTGAAACGTATGGATTATTATTATGATTGATATAGTATCAATCATAATATTCATGCCTAAAATACTACTTAACTTAGAACCGACAGAAAGACTTTCTATGTGGTTTGGTAACCTACAGTCAAAGAAAGGAGAGCTCTAATCAATTTGGTCCGCTCTGCAAAGAAGGCTGTGAGCTGCCTGTTCTGGAAGCTCTTCATTAAACTCTCTGAATCTTCAAGGACTCTTCTAGCCACCCTTGAAAGGCTATGCTTTTATTCTGATTTCTTAAAAGTAAAAAGAATGACAGAATAAAATTACATTTAGCAGTGTGCAGCGCCTTTCTGGTTTGTTATGTGAACTCTTTCTCTTGCCCACGGCGTTACAGATCGGCCAGTTCTTTGGAGAGGTGGACCCGGTGTTGATGATCAGCCTTGTGAACCAGTCTTTGTACTCTTTCAACAAGACGTACGACTACCAGTCTGTGTGCGACCCTGAAGAGGAGAGCAAAGCTGCGGCCGGCCTGCGCTCCGTCCACGTGGTGAGGGAACATCACGCACCCATCTGCTCAGCTTTGTGGAACCCCTGCAGTCTATACACCGATCTGACCTCCTTGTCTTTGCACTCCCTTTGCAGCCTACTATAGCAGAGCTGCTCAGTATCGGCTGGTGGGCTTCTACAGCAGCCTGGTGAGCCAAAAAACATGCATTGTCAGCCTGATCTTTCCTTTATACAATATGTAATGTGTTTGAAAATGTTTGTAACCTTAGATGACGTATGTTGAAAGTCGGAAGGATGTTGTTGACACTTTAATTTTGACACGTCTTCACCATTATGGAAAGCAACACAGGTTCAATTAATTCTATGATAACGGATTGCCCGGGTTGACTCGGCATTTCAACACGGGTCACACAACATGGGTCTTCAGTGTCTAGAGCAGTGGTAGACCTTGGACATTTTGCTTTGATAATGAAACGTGCTATTGATTTACATACAAAGTTGTAAAGGACGTTTTAATTTTAGTTCTAAAAAGTTGAGAAAGGCTCCTCTGCCCTTGACAGCCTTGTGTAACACATTTGAAAGAGAGCTTTTACACGTACAGTAAGTGTGTTGGCCGAGGTTTGGATGAAACTACAACTCCAGGTCTGTTTTTCATGAGTACGTTTACGAAGCATCAGTAAACATGAAGACAATTGTGCGTCATTTATCCTTCAAAACTCGTAACTTTTAGAATGGGTGGCAGTTTGATGACTCTTTAAATGACCACACTCATTCAAACAGTTTTTCTTTAATGGCTTTTGCATGTAAAGGGCCCTGTTTAGTCATTGGGGTCAGTGCAGGACAGGCAGGCTCACATATGCTGCTTTTATGGGAGTGTGACGGATGGCTCCCTGGGCACTCGCAGCAGAAGCAGCAGCAGCAGCAGTAGTAGTAATAGTGGTGGTGGCCCTGGCCCTGGCTCCAGAGACTCAGCAGCTGGGATTACACTGCTGCTGTGGATGTCATTGTTGTGGCTACAGTATTCAAGATGGAGGACTGACTCAGACTCACTGTACTCTCTCCTCATGCAGGTCAATACTGCAGCAGATCTTCTTCGGCCTCATATTTCCCAATCTGTTCGGAAGAGGTAAGACAATTGGTGATAAATGATTAGTAATAGAATTAGTAAGGTAAAAGCAGTTTGGGTAGAAAAGTTGAGTGGTGTAAAATGCTTAAACCTGTATTGATTACCTCACTCAGCAGACTCAGAGGATCCACTGGACTCACAATCTGCACAAATTTTTAGAGGAATGTTGACCCAATGTAAAACCTAAACATGGCTTGAACACAACAAACTTTGCATAAAAAAGGACGTTATAATAAGTTGATTAATTAGTACACATAGCTGGAATAGTCTATAATATGGCATTACAAATATCTTATTCATGTGCATCTTAAAAAAAACATGCACACTTCTACAGCTTCTTAAAATCTGCACTGATGTACTGTATGTGTCCATTTAACTTCAATATTGGAATTCTTTGACTAAACGTTACAACGTTTAGTCAAAGACTAAACGTTATATTCTAATCATCAAAGCAACAGATACTGTAAGTTCAAGACTGCAATGGGAAAAGCCATCAGATCAGATTGTTGTAGTCTTGCATCAAAAACGTACTTAAATGTGTAAGAGATGGAAGACTACTGCATGTCAAGAAATATTTTGATACCTTGCAAAAGCTGTTCAAATGATTGTCTCTTATCGACCTGAATAACTGTATGATGTTCATGTGTGATCTTCCCAGTGGAGTCTGCGGAAGAGGACATTTCAGAAAACATGTTCAAAGAGAGCTGCATCACGGAGCAAACGCAGTATTTCTTTGACAATGAGAAGAGGTCCTTCTCCGGCCTCCTGGACTGTGGCAACTGCTCTCGGTATACTATTATTATTATCATTATGATTAATATTGGTGTCTCATCCACTCTAACATGCTTTAGATCATTAATGCGCACAAAACAACAACTTTCCAGACCAATGTTCTAGTTCAGGTCAAAGTATATTTTTGTCGGGGGCCAAATTAAATAATATATATAGTTGGTTGAAGGCCAATGTTTTTTACCAGGTATCTATTTGTTTAAAGCTCATCCTTAAACTTTCCACACAGAAAGTTTGCTATTTTTTCTATAGTTATATTTAATGTCCTGGAGGTAGTTTTGTCCAAATCGGTTTCAATATTACAATTATATTATATTGTAATATTGAATCCAGTTATGTTTGGAATGAACTAAGACTGAAGAGTTGCAGGACATTTGTTTTAATCAAGCTAATAATTATGACTTGAGTTCAATGTACACAATGAAATGAATGATGTTTTCTTGATAAAATTAGCTTTTTGAAGGATGTATGTCACAAGTACACGTTCTCAAGGGAATATAATGATCATGCAAGAATACTTTGAATAGAAGTTATTATTGTACTGGAAAGCTTCAATCATTCCCTTGTCCAAATTAAATTGGGTTGGACAAAATGTGTGCATTTTTGCTTTTTCTCACAAAGCCTAATCTTGTGTTTTGTGAGTTATCCGCAGAAATATACTTTATTAAAACAGTTGTAAAGATTTCAAGGAGAAGTGATTCATATTCTTTACACAATGGCCTTAAGAAATAGTTACCAACAAACTAGGAAAAAAGCAACCCGTCATGGCCACTCTTACACAAATGGAACAGTCTACAAATACATAATACATTTTTGGCAGTTTGACTGTATCCAGCTGCTTTCAGGGGAGTTGCGATCAAACACAGATTACCTTGATGTGTCAAGCTAGAATTGCAAGGGAAGCTATAAAGTTGTTCTCAAAAAATAATTCTATTCCCTCTCCCTTTGGTCCCAAGGCTTCATTATGAACTAGGAGTACGGCAGTTCACGGACCAGTGCACGTGTAGTTACTTCATGTGCAGCCTGGGCTTAAACATGCCCCTGAGTGGAGCTGCTGTCAGGGTGGTGGACTCGTCAAAAGATGAGGACATTAAAAAACTGTCAGATCTTGGCTTCAAGTCCTTATTCCTTCCACATTAGAGCGATGCTTTGGGTGTCTATTTATTTCATGTTTAATAATCACATACATCAAGGTGACTGTCATTTAATTTTCAGCCCTTGCATTTGGTTTTAAGACAGTGGCAACTCCACTCAAGAAATTGGTTGGTTAGAAATAGAAAAGCAGTTTAGAAAGGTAAAAAAAACAAGTGAAATCATTTCTATGTGGGTTGATGAGAAGATGACAGTAGAGGACCATAGATTTTTTTTTTTTACACAAAAGGGTGGTGACCTAAGTTTTTCTTTTCCTACTGTTCACATATTTAGGTGGAATATCAAATAACAAAATGCAACCCTATTGATTGTGATTTCATAACAGATTTTTAAAATGCCACATTCGGAACATCACGTCACATCTGGCCACCTTCCCATAGACAATGTCAAACTAACATAACTTTTATTTCCAGGATGTACCGAGCCGAGAAGCTGCCCAACACAAACCTGGTGTTCCTGATCACAGACGCCAAAAGCACGTGTCTGTCGTGTGACCCCAGGCCGCTGCGGCAGGCGGAGCAGCCCTGTATCCTTCTGCTCGGCACTAACCCATCTAGACATGACCGTGGCCCATCCATTCAAAAACCCTCCATCTGTATGAAAGCAATACACACACATACTGTGGGATTCAAGAAATACAGCCAATGTCATGTTTATGCCCAAGGTGCGCTTGTAGATGCAATAAAAAAATTAAACATAATTTAAGTTACAAAAAAAATGAGTGTGCAATATAAGTGCAGTGCTACACATAATAATGCAATGATGTGAAAATTGCAATAGTGCAGAGTGTGCAATAATACTGAATGTGCAATACTGCTGAGTGTGCAATGTGTGGACGTAACCGTTAACGTATTTTCAATATCATTTATTGACAACTTTTGTACTATGGTCCGCTTCCTGATTGTTGCCATGGAGATGTTTTGGTTTTGCTTGGATTTTTTTTTTTCTGCGATGCCCCGTTCACATAAACCACCCATGTATGCAGCAGAGACAGTTCTCGGCATGCTCCAACAAGAACCCAATTTACTGTGTCTGCTCTTTCCGAGAGATTCACATTAACATATCAGGAAACTGAAGGTGTTCTGCGCCGTTAGCTCTGGAACAGATGCCCAGTATTTAGAGACAACAGCAACAGAGTGGATACAACAAGACTGAAAGCACACAGACAACTTATAACTGGAAACAACACGATCCAACAATGAATCATTCCATTTCCGTGTGAAATGATGTGTGTTCGTAAGTGCGACTGTGGGACAACGGCTAGAAATTACCCCAAGGCTGTTACTATCTGGTGTATTTACAGCACCACTGTTTATTAATACGCTCTTTCCCATCCAAACAAAAAAGCGAACAAAACAAATAACTAAAAGCTGTCAGGCGAGGGGTTTTAGCGCACCGTTAGCTTGATATGAAAGTTTCATTAAGAACATTACACTTTGCAGGCTCTTAAAAACAAGGTTAGTTCTTTAGAATGCAGTGACTCCATCTATGTCTGTCCCGACTCTACTAGAATTGGATTCTAGAGTTAAAAGAAGTTCATAAACACTTGAATACCACTTGGTTTGGTTTTGTGTATGACAGAAGTATTATTATATATTATCAGCGGAGTATAGACACATGTTTACAGCAGCAAGAAACCCATGTCCTGCGACTCAATTTGGCCGTCATTCATATACATCGTTGCGAGGGTAAGGACAGGGAAAGACTCTGGACTTACTGTAGTTGTATGTGAATAAGGTGAATGGTCACACAACACACAAAACCACCGAAAAGTAGGTCCAAAAGTGGGCAGTAATGCACTTTAACGAGCATGTTATTGGGATAAGTTGAGTGTGTCTATTGCGTGTCTTGTGGATCGGATCTCCATCCTCTGCTATTCTTTTTGGTGAAGAACATTCTAAAACCACCGCTCTGGAAACCTCAAAGCCCATTACATGTCAACCCATCATACAACCGAATCATCTGCGAGTTTGCGTGTAGAAATTACAACACGATGGGACATTCATGCGCAATTTTCAAGATTTCAACCGGACGAGACGCATTTAGGGGATCCCCAGGGCGCCTGCAGTCCGCATAAATCACTCCATCACTTTCACAACAGCACAGCGGTTAACCTCTGCAGCCGAGAGTACCAGGTCTGGGTCCCGAAAGGCTTCTCCGGTGGACGCTTACCTCCAGGCGTATTATGTGCAAGTGGAGATTACATTTCAGGGGGATCCGGTTTCTTTGTTTTCATTCATGTCGGCCGCACTCCGCCATAAGGCCGTATTGAAATTACAAGCAGGTGGGAGCGCCGTATACGCACCTTTTTATTGAGGCTTCCTGTCGCTCTGTAAATATGTCATCGCCAGAGATCAACGCTCGGTCAGTCCAAGAGAAAATTATCGTAATGTTTGCTTATTGCTGTAAGGAATACCTTGAGGGCCGAATTACAACAACCTGAATGTGTAATGGGTAAAAATTCACTTCAAATGTGTTCAATCATCCATTTTGATCAGCTGACACATTTTGGATCAGTTAAAACACTTAATACATATTGTGGCATGCACTTTTTAACCACTAGAGAAAAGGGGGGAAAGTAAAGTAATTGACATACCCCTTCTTTTGATAATGTCTTTAGATCTACTTTAGTCTTGGTTTGGATCAGTTCCAGTCCCGGCCCCGCCGTCCAGATCCAATCCTGCTTTAGTCCCACTTTAGACCTGATTCTTTATTCTGGCTTTGATCCTACTTTTAGACATGGTTTTTAGTCTTGCAGTCCTCAGTCAGTAAGCTGGGTCTGGTCACTCCTGTGTGCTAACAAATCTGCATTTCTCATGAATATTTACATAAACAGATGGATTGATGATAGTGTATTCCAAAAAATAAGACCTTTGAACGTTCTGATTGAGTCCTCATCGATACCATCTGTCAATGTGGTCTTACTGCAAAAAGCAAATTAAGTGAATCTTGAATCTTCATCTTGAATTGAGATTGAATTGATACTGACGCTGATGTATTTGAGTGTGACACAAAAACATTTTGATGTTTTTACTGCTTAAAATTAAGATTTTTTTACTGGGTTGGTTTTCCCTTCCAGATAAGACATGGTCACAGCAAGCAAGTACATTTATAATGCCTCAAAACAAGATTATTTCCAGCACAGTACGAATTTTATTTTCTAATTCCAACTGTCGGCTGGTGCTATGTGTACTGGGTGGGATCTCTAGCCACCCCCCCCCCCCCCCCCCCCGACCCAGAAATTAGGGGTAGAAAATGGATGGATGGATGGATGGAATTCCAACTGTAATATTAGCTTGTTCCATTCAGAAACAAAATATACTCAAATCCGTCAACCTATGTCGGACTAATTTTTTTTCCATACTTGAAAAAATATAACGGCTACATCAAAGTTTATGAAAAATACTTTATATATATTTTATATATTTTATATATATATTTTATTGTTCTTTTCATGAGACAAGCTCCAAGTTTGGTCAAGTTTATATGAAGACCATTCCATTGGCTTCTTGCAAAACAGACTTCTTACATTCTGCACTTCTTACTAACCTTTTTACACATATATTCTGCAGTGTAGTAAATAAATTTGAGCTAAAAGTCCCCTCTGTAACTGAATATGCCGTAGTGGTGAAGGAAAAAGCACCTGCCAGTAGCTCCATGCTGTTCCCATTTCCAGTGTTTAAACAGCACAATTGTACAGTCCGCCTGGCCTCTGCTTCAAATAGCCGCCGTTAGCATAGCATTGCATCATCCTCAGCACGATGAAGATGGATTTCAGTGTGCTGAGGGAATGCAGATGTCATAAACGTCCAGATGTTGGCACTAGGTAGCATGCGGAGTTGGAGAGTGCTGCTCCTTGAACTGTGGTTGTTTGTTGGGCTTGTTTTCTAGACGCAGTGAGGAAGCATTGGATTCGGAACAGTTCTCACTTAACTCGCTTATTTATTTACAATCAATCAATCTTTCTTTTTTCAGCACTTTTCCTACGCAGGATCACTCAAAGCACTTTGCAGTCCACATCACACAAGGCACAAATTATCACATCAAAACATAAACACCAAATCACCATTGAAAACTCAATTAAAATAAAATAAGTTGTTAAAAACATGAAAATCACAAAAGTTATTACTTTTGTTGCTATACCCAAATAAAACTTTCCATAATAATGTACATCATTAAAAAATTGGTAAAATTAAACTCTGAATTTTTCTGTCAAGGATCACCCAGGCGCAAATGTAAAATAATAATAATAATCTTCATTTGTATAGCACTTTTAAAAACAATGTTTACAAAGCGCTGCACAGTCAGCATGATAAACAATAAAACAGTCATAATGCAAAGTCAAAATAATTGGATACAGTAGATACAGGAAAACAAAGGAGACAGAGCAAAAAACAAAGACAAAGAAAACATTAAAATACAGCATGTGAAGTTTAAAACTAACAGTTAAAAGCTGTTCGATAAAAGTGGGTTTTAAGAAGTGATTTAAAAGAGGATACTGATGGTGTTAGCTTTATCTCCTCGGGCAGGTCGTTCCAAAGCCGAGGAGCCCGGACAGAGAAGGCTCGGTCACCTCTTGCCCAGAGCCTCGACCTTGGAACAGTCAACAGGGACCTGCCCGAGGATCTAAGGCTGCGGGGGGGGGCTCGTAGGGGGTTAAAAGTTCATAAATATATCTGGGTGCCAGACCTAAACGAGCTTTAAAAGTAATCAGTAAAATCTTAAAATCAATTCTAAAATGTACAGGGAGCCAGTGGAGGGACGCTAAAACAGGGGTGATGTGCTCCCTTCTGTTAAAACCAGTGAGAAGTCTGGCTGCTGCGTTCTGGACCAGTTGGAGGCGGGAGAGATATTCATACATATTTAAAAATGAGATATTCCCTATCAAAACAAAAATTCTGTCATCATTTGTAAATTGAATCTTGAAATCACCTAAGTTCATGCTTCAGGAATCCATATAAGGTCCCAACCCCTTGACTTTTGAAAACTTTCTAAAACTCAAACCAATTATTGTAGTAAATCTAAAATCTTCACATTTGGCCATACAATGCAAATGGGACTTACTGGACCTTCCTATTAAGCCATCATCAAAGAAAGAATTGGTGGCATAAGGTTTAGTGCAGAGGTGGGCCAAGCCTCTTTTATATAAATAGGTCATCTTCGCTCTAATTTGGGATAAAGTAGCCTGTATTATGTTTAAAAAGGGTAAGCCTAGTGTGTCTTGTCCTGTCCTTTCATGGCAAAATCATTTTTAAACACTTTGGGCACTTCTGGCTTAGAGGGTTAAGCAATGTCAAACAATGTGTACAATCTTAAACTACAGATAATGTCAGTTTGAAGCTCTTCTCCCTCCTCGATCACCTCAGGCTAATGCGATCTCACAGTGAATCCCATTAGGCCGAAAGTTCTGCATCAGCACATCATTGAAATGTAGATCCGTAAATGTGCCGTGCTGGCGGAGCGACTCTTTTTCCTGAACGCAGAGGTCAGCTGAAGGACCGGACCAGTGCGAGCTCGCCCAGAACCCCAGGTACCGCAAAGGCCCGGACGTCTGCTTCGACAACAACGAGAGCGTAAGTTTTCCCGATCCCAGAGAGAAGCAGCAATCCCAATGTTGTTTTGACTTGGATTAAGTTCAGCTGTCAAGGGTTCAAGGTCTGTAAAGCTTGGGGAAAAAAACTGGACTTTTAAGGTTGTAGAAGAGCTAGGGACTCATAAATAAAACTAGGTTGTTACCTCTAAATGTACATAAAAAAAATATAGACAGTAGACACAGTAGAAAGATGGACATTGGTAATCCCCCAAGCTGGATGGAAGATGGAAGTGCTCGTGGACAATCTTTTTCTCTAACTCAAGTAAACTCAAGCCACACTCACCATCGTGGGCTTCATAAATCTGTGCTTTATTGCATGATCTCTATAATCTTGGTGTTTAATTTGTGATATTATCTTTGTAAATCCAAGTATGAGTCAAATATCAACAACTGACCAATCAAGAACTTTCTGTTGGCCACTTTCCAACTAAAATAGCCTGTTAAAAAGAGCTTTAATTGGTCTCATATGGATTAAGGCTACTCTTAATGTATGGCTTATGATTTCGACACAAACAAAAAAGTATGATGAGGGGTTTTGCACTTGCTTAAAGTTTATTTCCTCAACCCGCTTTTGGTGAAGTGGTTTGATACCTGCTTATGTTATTGCCTTGGTTTACATGTTGCTCAGTTTTGTTTAAAAATCCAGGATGCACGTTTAAATGCCCCCCTTGAAATATTATATTATGTGAGTTCAAGATATGTGTTAAAGATAATACAGGAAATGCAAACCCGTCATTCCTGATTTTAAAGTAATGTGAAGATATTTGTCTCGTTAAAAATCCGAAAATTACAAATAAAATCATCCATGACCCCTTCTCTGAGGACCACGGATTGTTTGAAAGTACCTACGTGGTTTGTATTTTTCTATTTTAGTCATTCATAATTGATGGTATTCCATTTATTTGATTGACACATTTATGAAAATAAAGTCCTTCAAGGTCATGGGAAAATTGTAGAGTGGTTATAGAAAAGTAGTGGAAAACCCCAGCTCTACAGCAGTCAGTAGAGGTTAAATATAACCCTGAACAAACCCAGACTCATGCTACCTCCAATTCCACATTTGAGCTTTTTTCTCTTAAATGGTCGACACCCTGATGAAATTTAGTGGAAGGGGTTAAAAATAATAATAATGATAGATTAATGTTGAAGTCCAAATTGCAAAAGCGCACACTCGGAGAGCACATGCATTGTAACACACACACATGCAGTTAATGTATCTCCGCATGAACACGCCTGTGACCAGACAGTAATTCTGGGAAATTGACTCCAATTGACTGGGAAAGTCTTTTGCAGAGTTCCGTGCATTATATTCTCTCCTGCTTTATCGGTTTCCGGGTCACTGCGGCAACAGTCTGTAGTGACAGACCCAGACTTCTCTATCCAAGTTCATCTAAGGGAATCCCCAGGCCAGCTGAGAGACCTAGTCCCTCCAGCATTTCCGGGTTCCTCCTGGAGCCTCATCCAAATGGGAGATCCCCAGCATCCAAAATATCCCCAGCTCTCTACTCTGCATAAGAAACTAATTTGTGCCACTTCTATCCGCAATGTTGTTCTTTTGTTCATTACCCAAAGCTCATGACCATAGATGGTAAATTAAGAGCTTTGACTGTAGAAGCTGCTCCTTCCTCACCAGAGCAGTCCAATACATCAACCACACATGTCTGTCAACCTCACACTCCATCCTTCCCTCATTGTGAACAAGAGCCTGAAAATCACGGCTGGTTCTCACATGTGGACGAGTTCAAGTGAACCGATAAACAAGTACTGACGTTTTTCTCCACCCAATTAACACATCCTTTTAAATCATATTTGGTGTGCTCGTGAGACTATTTGTTATTGCCAAACCACATGCAAACACTTCAGACAACTCTAATTCTCATTGCTGTTTTCTTGCATGCCTTCTTCTCTGGCCGCGCACACAACTCACGATGTGCTTGGAAACATCTCCATTAGCGCCGCTTCAGTCTGTCATTCTCTGTCTGCTTTGCATCATATCTTCATTCTACTTGGCTGACGTTCTGACCGCGTCCTCACATGATTGATTCTGTAGTGATGTGATTGTTTTCTCTCCATCCTCCTCCATATGTTCTGCATGTTGGTGCCTGCTCATCTGCTCTGTGGCCTTCTCCAGGACGGGCCTCTCTGTCCGACCAGCCGAGGCGTTTCTCTCAGCCGCATGTCCATCACCGCCATTCTAATGTTTGGGTCAGTCGCTTTGCCTGCTTTTACTAACAATGTCTTTGATTTCATGAAGCATCTAAATAAATGACTGTGGGTATGCTGCAAAAAGAGTACATTTCAACATGAATACACAGTTGACCTTCAAAGTTTTACGATTAAGATATCCATTATTCGTCCCATAGTGGGGAAATGTCATTGTTGCATCACCAGTTACAGAACAGTAGGAATGAGGAGAGCACAACACAAGATAAGTGAACAATAGCTATACTAATTCAAATAAATCAAAATGAGTGGATAGCACTCTCGCTTCACAGCAAGAAGATCCTGGATTCAAATCCCGGTCGGAACAAGGCCTTTCTGAGTGGAGTTGTTGCATGTTCTCCCCGTGTCAGCTCCGGTTTCCTCCGATAGCTCCGGTTTTCCACATGTTTGCACATTCTGTCATGTTACAACCACAAACATAAAGATTCAATTTTGTTTTTATTTACTGAAAGATCACAACAAAGCAACAACTGGGAAGTGAAAACAAAATGATGCATGACTTTTTTTTTCTTTTGAAAACCGAAAACCTGATCCAATAATCATACATTTATCTGAGGGCATTAAATATACTTTAAAATGGCTCTAAAATATTTGTATTCTCACATTTTGCCTTGACCATTGAATTTTTTGTGAACTTAGACTTTGATTATAGTGTATTGACTAAATAAAAGATTGTGGTGGTAACATGACTGTGCGGCTCTCTGATAGCCGTACGGAGAGGCGCTTCTCTCGGAAAAAGTTCAATTCTTGCTTTTGCCGCATGCATCGAGTGTCTGTACCCACTGCCTCTACCGCACATGCTATTCCTCTCACGGACACGGCATTGAAACACAAAGCAATCTATAGATCCATGGACCCGTGGTTTTTTTGCATTTCCCAGAATGCCTTGCTGTTCAGGCTCAGCTTTACTTCCTGTGTTTTCTTCCTGTTTTTTCAATCGAAGTTAAACTATCGAACATTCTATCGACATCGAGCACGCGTCTATCGTAATATATATTGTTATCGTGTTATCGCCCAGCCCTACTGAAACCTAATCTGAATCAGAATGCAGCTGTTATCCTATACTGATCCTAAAAGCATGCATATAGCCATAAAGAATGAATTCACTTAGAAGCATAGCTATGTCCATGTGGCATTTGACTCCTGCAGCGTAGATGCTTTGAAGTAACTGACCAATTTTTAAAAGTAAGGAGTAGAATGAATAGATATTTTGGTTTATAAGTAAGGAGTATATATTTGTTTTCTTTTTTTTTTCATCTACTTGCTCGTCTTGCATTAGCTAGTGGACGCTAATGGGGATCCAAATAAAACCACAAATATAATACTAGGAAAAAATACTAAAAAAAACAGTGACTTACTAATTAGAATCCCAACCAGATTTGACCATTTGGATTTTAGACATATTTTGTTTCCAGACGCAGGTGTAATGTACATATATCTTCACCGAGCAACAATAAATATATGTAAATGTTATTCCGAGATTAATATTCCTTTTAGATAAGCCTGGCGTATTGATTTGTGAGCAGAATCCATTTAAAAAACATGAAATACGACAAACAGATGCTGAGCACGTTGCACTGTCAAATATCGAGAGAAATGGACGCATTTGAAAAACTAGTTTGAGGGATGCTTTAAAAATAATACTAGAGATAAATGGTGCTTACTAAAACATGGATTACAGGCCGATTTATGGCACGCGTTTCAAACTGGAGTGGCATGGGAGTAATAAAGACATCATAAACAGGTTTTAGTGCACCTTATACTATTGTTGAGGGAGTTGTGTGATGTGTTTACACTGGACAAGAGTAAAACACTTGTGGATGCAATGATATAACAGCAGATTTACAAATGCTCACGACTGTAGTTAGAATTTAATACGTTTGTTTTTCATTTTGAAAGTGATAGTAATTTTATGGTCGAAGGGCTGAGGCAAAAGCAATCTAAAAGTCAAATAAATGTGGCTGTACTTGGTCTGCTGGATAGTTGAATTTTACATGTCAATATTGAACTAAAAGTCTGAAATTAAATTGAATAGTATTAATATTAATCTCTTTTAACCATGTTACTCTGTGCATTCATGACGGAAAACAGAGCTGGAGTTGTTTTTAGCTCCATCCATGCTAATTCTTGGGTTTCATTAAACTGGCCTGTAGGGGGCAAATGAGCAGAGGTGGGATAACTCAGTTTTCCTCCCATTGAAAACCATGTAAATCTTGTCTGTTTTGGAGTCAAAAGGCTCTCATCCTGTGCGGTTTCTTAATCGGGAGGGGGACACTCAATTCTATGGGAGTACTAAAAATATATTTTTTAAAGAGTCTTGATTTCGGGCAGAAGAAATTGCTGCTTTTCATTCAGGTGGCCTGTAGGGGGCGCTTATCTGGGAAAGCTTTGATCCACCTCGCCCGCCTCATTCGAGTGTGTACTTCTTTGTATGAGACCACAGTTGGAACACAGAAGAAACTCTTGTCTTTTTCTATTTGCGCGTTTGCTACAACCGTACACCGCACAAAAAGATGGCATTTTGACAACGCTTCTTCTTCTGCTATATCTCCGTGTATATACCCGGCAGACTGCACCGCCAGGATACGTCACGTCCTGTCCCACGCTTGTTATCCACGCCACTGCCCTGACGTCATATGAAACCATCCCCTGCCCCTTCTGTCTAAAAGCAAATATCTCAGACCTGGTGTTCCGTGATGAATCCATACACTATTGCGTCATGTTCATGTCTGGAAACAATACAAAGGACGGTAACGCTTTATAATGACCTGAACTCATGCATTTATGATGAGTTTGTAAACGCTATGAGGGCGGGGTGGAGCAATGGCGAGTTTAGTTTTGCGAACCAGAAGAAAGGGCCGGCAGGGAGCCAAGGAGTGAGAATAATAAACACAGACACTCAACTCTATTCCAAATTAATGTTGTATTGAGTTCGACTATTTAGATATTTCTTGCCCTTGAATATGCAGTATTTTATTCTCGCTTCGTTATTATGCCAAAGGTAGTCATTTTTATACTTCTTAATCGTGCTAAAGTCAGAGATTTTGTGTTGTGTGCTTCTCATTTCTACCATTCTGTAACTGGTGATACTGAAATAGTTACATTCATATCAATAAAAAGGTATATTTCATAAAAAAACAAGATGTCCTTTTAAACAAACTGAGGAGTTTAAAGCAATTATAGAATGATTCATGTTCATTCCTCATGAGTTTTGTGCCGTGCCTTTTTGTTGAGTCCATTTTTCATTAAAGATGGGAATCCTGGTTTTCATAAAGGGTTATCATAAAGTAATGCCTCCCTGTTAGTTTTGCCATTGTTTTTTATTGTACGCAGTGTTTATGTTGAAAATAAATGCCCAACTTCTAGTGGTAGAAGTTGGGAATTAGGATTTGCGTATGCATATATTTTGTACTTAAATTCCTTTAAATTCTAATATGTAAAATTAAATGGTCTCATGATTATGTATAAGGGACAAGATGCATTTTTTTTTTAAAAACAAATTCTACATATTTTAACATCTTGAATACAGAAGTATCAACATTACTCAAAAATGCGTGAGTAGGGATACATGTCATTAACAAATTAATAAATGTATAAAACTGTAAAGGTTGAATACATACAGATCTTCTGAATCTATACCGTTTTAGATTTGCTTTTTCTCTCGGACTGTTACACTGAACAGTTTACTGTATGACTGTGTTTCTGTTATTCCACACCGACGCCTTAGCCGCAGAGAGGTTAGCGTGAGGCTGCATTAGCATAAATATGCAGCTAAAGGAGCTCAGGCGGCATGGCCACATTTAGCACCAGCTACAACACTATTAACACCACTAACATCATCCACAAACGCAGCCTAATGCTTTCAGACGCCAGCATGTGTGCTTAGCTGGGAGCAGTTTGCTTTAATGCTCAATATGGTTTCCAATTTGTCAACACAAAGTTTGACTGGCTGCCTTTGTAACCAATTGGAATTGAAAAATGAAAAAGTGTGGTTGCTGCCAGGTTTGGCGTCAGTCAGTCATAATCATAGCTAAACTTAAAGGACAGCTTTAAAGCATGTTACGAATACTTCAAAACCACTTCAAAATTCCTGCTTGGAAATATTTCAGAGGTGCTCCCTGTTGGGCCTCGTGCATGCCAGGGTTCTCTCCAGCGCTTCTGAACGTTGTACGCTCTGGTGTTGGGATTTTTTTGCCCTATGGTGCAATGATTATATTTTGACTGAAAGCGGCTTCTGACCCAGTGTACACGGCTGCAAATGCCACATCGCTGTTATTCCGTTACTGTGCAAGAGAAAGCTGTGACATCCACATCAGGACTGATCAAAGACGGGGTGCGGATAATTTGTATGTGTGTATGCCCGCCACACGGCTTGACGGCCTGTGTGTCCGCCGCTGCTGGTTAAATCCTGGTAAAGACCGGCTCCAGTCCTGGATCAAATTTAGCTACATGATGAAATGTTGTTGTGGTTTAAAGGTGAGGTACACAATTTTTAATTTAAAATGTTAAAGACAAATGTTAAAAAAAACTATTTCATATAAAAGCTGATAATGTTGTCTCAATTGCCTTTGCCAAACTGGCAGATAACAAAATTAACTCGACAAAAAAACATAATGGATAAAATTGCTTTTAGGAGAATGCGGGAATGCAGGAGAAAATGCATTCCATAAAAACCCTCCAAATATAATTATTAAAGCTGTTTAAAGTAGATTTAGCGTGGGTGATCTGTCCAGCTCTTTTCTGTATTCTGGCAAAGCAACATTTTCATTCCCTTTAATTCCATGGGCGTGCACCAATCCTCTCAGCCCATATACAAAGCGCTGTCAGCCGCGATAACGGACGCTCATAAATATGCCGTCGCCCCTACACCCGACTTTGAAGCGCTAATAGGACGTCCAAATATTTAGACCAGACAAAGTTATTGCCTTTTTGTACCGCGTAGCCTTTTATTGTTCCTCGGTCTATAGATCACACGGACCTCTCCGGCCTGCGTGTTTACACAGGGCAGGAGGAGTAAAAGTTTGGGCTAAGAAGAAGACCCGACGATCTGGGCAGTAAACAAAGGAAGCGCAGCGCGGCTTTCCTGCCTTTTGAACCCAAGAGGAATTCCACCTTTTTACTGTCCCGGGCCATCGGTGCGCGCGGATGTCCGGAAGACTCCCATATAGACGCCGAGGAGATTTCCACAAAAGCAAATGAGGACAGACTGGACAAGGCCGCTGGGTTTGTGGAGGGGTGATGGACAGGAGCAGTGTCATCCAAATGAAGGAGTAAGGAAGACACTCGCTGGTAGCAGTAGAAGGAAAAGTCATGTCTGATTCCAACTTTCATTCAGAGCCTGACGACATTGTATTTTGTATCCTAGTAATTCAAAAGTGATGAAAAATAAGTAATCTTGCTCGAATTTGACAAAATGTATCTTAATTTTAGCACATTTTGACTGCCTTAAAACAAGATTTGCCAATGGGACACGCACAATTATCCTGTTTTAGATAAATACAAGAAAGTCTCGCTTGGACTGAGAAAATAAAGCAATAGTTCTTGAAAAAGGGCTAAATTGCTTTGACCCATTAGCAAATCGGGTTTTAAGTAGTCAAATTAAGACAAAAATGCTCTCTTTAAGCATGTATTATTTATAATTTTTGCAGTGTTTTGGGTGCCATGAAAATTAATTACCAATATGTTTTATCTGGGACAGAGAGCAAACCCCAGACATTTTGCTGACTGCTGCGACACCACTGCCGGTTTTACAATATCATTCTTGAGTAAAAATGTCTTCCCAAATCCATGTCTTGTTTGATATGTTATATGAAAGGTTATACAACTTAAACTTAAAGCTGAGGTGCCTAACTTTCTGACCACCACAAATTCAACTACTTACAGTTCCATACTACCAATTGAAGACAGCATGTTGTGGTCTGATTGGTTTCACTACGGTTTGAATTAGGGCATCAAAACAGAATTTGAAAGAAAACCCGTTATACAGTAGAAGAAATAGTGTTAAATCTGGGGTATCCATTTTTCCCCCTTACCAGACTAGTTTTTTCTTAGAGTGGTCACATGATGTTCCTGTGTCTTGCCAGCATCTTCACAATTGTTCACGTTGTTGGCTACCCTAGATTTAGCACCTCATTTTTTTATGTAGAACTTGGACTTATTTATTTTTTTCGTTCATGTTTTTGTGCTTCAATCTTTGCTTCAAAAAGGTTCCTTAATTTTAACCATAGCAACATGTGTCATCAGTAACTTGCTGTTTCTCCTGACCTTGTGTGTGCGTGTGTGTGTGTGTGTGTCCGTAGGAGGATGACTCTGACTGCGGGGCTGGGAGCTGCCTGAGCCCATGCCTGCTGCACATCCTCGGGCTCCAAGTGCTGCTGTGGCTTATCACGTCGTCCCGGAGCTCATGACCCCAACACCCCCCTCCCCATGCACCCGCCGCCCGTACACTGCAAAAACATCCAAGTACTGTGCATACGCCTCAATCGGATGTTATGAGTATCGTGGACTGGTTTTAAGTCCAGTATTATTTCACAGATTTGATTGACAGTGCAAACACCATCATAACCTGATTATTATTAGTCTTGCTAAAAACAGAATTGGTTTGTTTCCAACACATTCCTCTTTTTCACACATTCCAAGCTTCCTAATAGTTTACTGTGGAGTGCTTTTCTCTCATTACAGAGTGGAGTTTGGCATTACAGTAAGCTTAAAGACAGTGTTTTTGAATGGAAGTGGGGTTGTTGCATACGACTGTGTTGCAATGAAGCCATAAAAAACTGCTAGTGATTGGAAGTAACAGCTGACCTTGAGAATCTTGGAGGAAAAAGATTAATCCTAAACTGAATTGGTTTGAGTAAATCATAGAAAAAAACGTTAAATGCATTTCAGGGTGACTCCTAATTGTAAGGAAGACAGTTTACACTCTTGATAACATCTTTCCAAATGATAAAGAATCCCTCAGTTCTCAAAAGGGTGAATTTCCCCTTTTACATTTATAACGGCATTAAGCCTCCAATTCCTTTCAATTCCTGGGCTGCCGTGCATGAACTTGCACATGTGTGATCTCTTTGACCATAATTGGGTTCAATCCACCAATAACAATAAGTGGGAAAAAGAGGTTTTGTGTTATCATTCATAATCTCTCAGATGTGACCAAAAATAGAAACTCCTGCACTTAGTAGTTTTTTGCAGTGTACAGCCCATGAATGCATCTTTTTTCTACTGTATCGGACTTTTTCCACCACTTACATATTATGCAGAATATTTGACATTCTCTTCCCCTTCAGCCGCCCCCCCCCCCCAAGTGTCAGCATTAGCATTTTTTCCGATGCCAAAGGGTGCTCGTTCATTTCCTCTGGGTCCAAAATATTGCTCCTCGTGATTCCGACTGGTGCAAGTTCAGGAGCAACCCGAACCCTTTAATTCTGCCTCATTTCGTCAGCTGCGGATACGTTTCGGCTGGAGAAGTTGCCGAATTACTTGTCTTTATGCCGACCGGAGGATGCCTCTGGGACTATGTTCACTGACAGCGCTGATTTCTGTGGGTGTGGAAAAGTCTTTGGTCGCTTGTTCTATTTATCGCGTATGAATCCTTATGCTGTAATGACAATGTTTACGTTACCATTATGTCTTTTTGTTTCTGTTTGGTTTCAGTGCAGCGATGGATTTGTCGAATGTTAAGTGTTTGTTTATAGTAGCATGGGCTCGCCGAAGAGCGTAAGACAACACGGATACTCAACGGATAGCAAAGCGTCACCACAGACCAAGGACTGGTCTACAAACTGGTCTGTTTGAAGCTGGGTATATACTGGAAAACTGATTACATTTCTGTCCAATTTAGATAACGCGTTTTATTTAACCCTTTAACGTTTTCCTCTTTTAGGGCATCTCACTTGGTTTTAGGCGCTTTTACCATCCAACTTCATCTCAACCATTTGGTGATGGCCTGTAATAAAAATTTAAAATAGACGTAAAAACTATTTATTTGTGGTTTTAGTGCTCCTACATCTTAGAAAATCCAAAAAAATTACATTGCTTTCTTCAAGGAGTGAATGTAAAAGGGTTAGGCCTCTCTGAGCAATTCAAGGACTCAAGCAATGAAAAAACTATGAAAAACATAGGAGATAATTCAAACTGGTTGAGAGTGGTACGCTTGTCTGAGCAGATGTGTTTTTAGCCGTGATTTGAATAATGGGAGGGAGTCAAGAGAGATGGGGGGGCAGAATGACTGGAGGAGGTCTGAGAGGTATGTGGGCGCCAGGCTATGGATGGATTTCAATGTAAGCAGTCGGATCTTGAACTGACTGCGAGGTTGGACTGAAAGCCGGTGAAGCTGCCGCAGGACCGGGGGGGTGATGAATGGTGTTCTGGTTATGATATGGGTGGCAGATTTCTGGAGGAGCTGTAATTTATAGAGTGTATTTTGAGGGAGTCGCGATGATCTAGTCTAGATGTGGCCTGGCATTTGACACAGATGGCAGCATTCTAAGGGCTGAGGGATTGCGGTCAACATATCTTCAAATGCAGGTAGCGCCGCAACAAATGTATGTTAGGCTATCATGCTAACCTACCAAGAACTAATGTTAGGCTGATGTTTTCTTTTAAGACATTTTGGAATTTTGTTGTGCCAGATGGGCATTGATGTTGGGGTAAACATTTATAGAGGGCAAGAATGTTAGGGTAGAAACATTTATCAGTTTTCCAGAAGATTTTATAAAAACCGTTGAGGGATGAGCAGTTCCAAAGGTCAAGTACATAGTTTAAAAGTGTTGTTATGAATAGAAAAAGGCTTTACTTACACCAGGATGAAAGCATTTTGATTCATGTAACTAAGGGAGAAAGTTTGATAGTTGGACAAACTGGAAAAGGAAGCACTTTATGTGGAAGTGGTCTATAGTGCTTTTCTGTGAGTGGGTGTGGATAGTTCAAGATGGTCCAGATAATTTTTTTCCAGGTGCATAAGTAGGTTGGGAAAGGTATCAGTAAGAGGATGAAAGATGACGCAGTATGTAATATCGCCCACCTGTTAATCAAATTCAAGATTGTCAGTAATCCAATGTCCTAAATGCATCACATAAATCTGATGTCAATAAATGATGTGTGACGCTTAAAGAAAAAGCATTGCATTAGTTTTATCTTAGAATCAAAAGAATTCTGCATATTAAAGCCCATTGAGTGATGTCAATGGAGGAATCTGTTGTGAGTAATCAGAGGGAGTGGCGCGTAGCCAGGTCCTCTCCTACAGCATGAGCAGGTAACACACTCTCCAATCTGCCAATCTGAAAGTTTGGCAATAAGTTGACACTTGTTTAAAATCCCAGTGTATGCCCAGCTTTAAATAGGCACCATCAGGACTTAGACCAGCAATTGTGTCAAAAATGAATATCGTCATTATATTTAGCCTTCCTCATCTGTTCCTAGCTGATGACTAAGCTGTTAACATAGCTTGGTAATGAAAAAAGAAACTGCTATTTAAAAAAAAAGTTGCCTGCTTTGCCTTTACAACTTTCTTAATACCTCCATTAGTGATGAGCACAGTTTGAAAGCATTTTCCAAAGCGGCGCATGACCCACTGACCAATGTGGACACCGGTCAGAAACAGTCAGCTGTCCGCCAGTCCTTGGTCTGTTGGCTTTGCTGGTCTGTACCTAAATGCATTAACTTCCCAGGGCCTAACAGTAGCTCTGAAGGTCTGTTGGTTTGCAGTTATAACACTTTATTTGCAGTAATGTTTACATCATTATAAAGTCCTACAAACCATTGTCCATCTCACTCTTAGTCCTGTTCCGCATTACAAAGAAGTATCCTGGTAACTGCATCCATGAGATTTTTATTTCAATTTTTGATGAGAAAATATTCCTGACATATTTGTTTTGTTTGTTATTGTGAGATTTGATTGTATTGTTTTAATCGCTGATACATATGTTGAATTATATGCATTATTAGACTACTACTTCACGAAATCTGTCTCACTAAATCCTGCAGATTCCAATTCCGATCTAATTCACACCGTCGGGTAATTAAGTTTTCACAGCAAAGATCGATCGTTTGACAGAAAGTTACAGCTCAATGAAAATAAAAACCAAATTTGTCTGAGTGTCCAGCTATAACTTTCCTTTTCGAGTGTTCATTAAAGCTGAGGTACATGACTTTCTTTTCGTAAAGTCTGCATTGAGTTTATCCTCACAGGAAGAGCCTTGAAATCGCCAATTTGTCTCCCTGAGTCAATTTACGACTCTTTAGATTCCGAGCTGATGGATGCGGGTCGCTTCCCTTTTCCAACAGAAAAGCAGATCCGAAGCTGTGACAAAGGCCCAAAATCATGGATGTAACGGCAGTGATTTTGATGGCTATGAGCTAGTTTGAATATATTTCTCATCCAATGCGTCCATTTTGTGAATTTGCCCAGAAATATTAATCTGCATGTTTTTTAAGACAAAAATGAACAGGGCAACAAGAGCGAAGTCACGATGTCCAAATCATTGCAAACTGGGAATACAAGTGTGCCATGGCTTGGACTACACAAAACCGTGTTCCCCCTTTTTTCCATTGCCAATCGTAAATAGATCAGCATATCATCAAACCCCTCCACTGATCCTTTTGTTTAAGCAATTGTTTTGTTTCATGATTATTTTCCTATGAAGTGCTGTGAAGGCGGCGCGGTTTTGCCCAGTGCCCAATACAGTACGCTGCGATGCCACATGGGGCGAGCTTGTTTTGTGTTGTGGGACGTCCCGGGGACTTCAGCACGGGCGCAGTGGGGTGGAGTCCAGCTAAAACCAATGGGTACATCGCATAGCCTTAAACTCATAAAGCATTGTTCACTCCGCCTGCTGGACACTATTGGGTACTGCTGTCGTTTTTGATATAATTATTGCCATCTTCCGGTTAGTGATTCTGATTTTAACCCTACTTTCTTTACTCATTTTTCAATAACAAAAAAAGATCTTGAGCAACAACATGATACCTTGTAGAGTAGTATGTCTTGATTCTGATTTTAGATCAATATGAGTTAAATAAAAATGGACACTTTCACCAACCACTTGCAAAAGCATCAACAAATTTAAAGTGATAGTATATGGCAGTAGCATGATTAGAACGTGTAAATCCAAACAATAGGTTAGATGTGCCGCAAGTGTAGAACTGTATTTTGTCGTGGCTCCTGATGTTAAATGAGAATATGAAGTTGTGATACGTTTTTCTACTATTCCACCGAGGTAAAAGCAGCTAAGGTTCAGGTTTTTTTTTTTTTTATGGGAATCTGAGCAGTTTAACTTGCTTTGAATGATTGTGTTGTCGAAATCGTGGTCACAAACATTACTTGTTTTAAATGCCACTCCAATATCAGGAACTTCCGGCACAAACGCGTAACTCCGCCCCTTCTGTCTAAAAGCTCCTGTCTCAGTCCTGTTATAGCATGATGTCATTGTATCATTATGACATCACACTCAGAGTAGTTTTCAGCCTTTTTAAAACAAAAGTATTTGGCCGTAAATGAATTGTTTATAATTTTTCAGGTGAAATTACATTTGGTACAATCACGTAGCAGTGGTTGCAGCTGATATTTTCTAATTTGTGAAGAAAAAAAGAAAAAAATCTGCTTGTCCCTCTGGTGGTAGCAAATGGAGTTACAGGCAAAAAGTCAGTTTTACCCTTCTCACTTGTTTCACCATGTTCCCCCATGTTCCACCATTTAAGATTTTATTTCACATTCTAAAATGTGCAATTACAAAAAACAAACGGGTATTATGTTCTCTTTGACAAATTTTGAAAAGCCGAGGAGGAAATTCAATGGTATTTTTTCACTTGTGGAATTGCAAAGTGTCCGATCAGAGTTGGCACGTCCACACTGCTGTACCCCATAGAACGTCCAGCAAGCACTTCTTCTTACTCGTCTCAACCCCCAGCCAGCCCCCACTGCGCCCGGCCCTGCCCCCCGGTGTCCCACTGTGGAACTGCCTGTACGTTTTTGAGTCGCGTCGTGTGTTCTGTGCGGAGGTGCTGTGTCTTTGTGCAGGCATGTCCCGTATCTGATTGTGCTTTAATACTCCACATCAAACAATTACTCTTTTGTGGTACATGGACTAGCCTGGAATAAATGAATTTTGTATACCTTTGTACACTATTTACTGTATAAAAGAGAAAGCGAAAGAACAGAAAAATGTTTATATAATGGTGTTGAATATTGTGCATATCGAATATATTCACAATAAAAGTGTTGTATTGTTATGACCTGAGTGTTTTATTTTTAGTAAGTTTTTAGTATTGAAATATGTCTCCCTCATGCACACACGTTAGATAAAGAAGATTAGAAAAAAGATAATAAAAAGTGGAGTTTACTGGTAAGTCAGATACAGTGGATCCCATATTTCAATCAAGAAGGAAATTATTTACTAAAACAACATTTTTGTCTTCCATTACAAAACTTAGTGGACTATTAAATGGATGATTGTTTGACCACCCAATCTAACTCTTTATATGCTATGTGCACTGTGACCTCTGCATATTTGATTAAAGGCGGTTCTATGCAGTAAAAATGCCGGAGACCCGTGGTAAGCAAATTTGACATCCATTACAAAACAAATCAATAATTATTATTTTAATTTCCTTTCTGCACTACACAATAGTTGTATTTATTTTGTTTGCACATAAGATATTGTGTAGAAATAAGTCATACCACATTTAGATAGACACTTCAATGATCCCCCGTAGGAGAAATTCAGGTGTCCAGCAGCAGAAGACTTATGTCTGTACAGTCTAACACCCGAAGGAACAAAGGATCCCTCTAAACGTTCCGTTCGGCAGCGCAGTGATATAAGCTTGTTGCTACGATTACTCCTCTGAGTGGCCATAATGTCATTCAGAGGGTGTCTGGAATTACCCAATCCAATGAATGACTCAATTTACAATTTGTATGCAGCAGCGGGTGGTCACAAGTTTGAAGTTACGGTAATCTCAGTCAGTTGGTTAATTGAGATGGGAAAATAATAAGAACATATTTAAAACACAGGCTTGAAAATGTACGTCCATTTCTCAATACAGTATACTTTCCCTACACAGATGTTTTTTTTTCTCTGGTCGGGCAGATGCAGACAGACACTGCCTCCTTTTCCACTGATCACCTCTGATATGAAGGAGAGTTAAAAAGTGGGAGGCTACCACGAGCGCACCACAGACATGGAAAGTGACACTGCAATGACCACGAACGACATTAGTCGCCTCACATTGGAGCTTCGTGAGAGGGACCGTGCCACTATTGCAGACCTCCGTAAAGAAGTCCTTCGCCTCACTGCAGAGCTGCAGGATAAACAGTCACTCGTGTCCAAACTTTTTGATGTCGCTGGCGGGCAGCACTCACGGCTTATGTCACTGAGCGCTGCATACTGTGACACTGTCGTGTGGGAGAGATCTGTCAGCTCTGGGCCCTCTTGCTCTACACCTAAGTGCCCGGTTCGGAATAAAGAGCCTGCGGACTGCGAGGAGCCATCCAGCGCCGTGGCCCATGTCCTGAGCCTTTCAAACCGCTATGCAGCCCTCTCCGCTGACATTCCAGCCCCCTCAGCAGAACCCCTGGACTCTGCAGCAAACTCTACTGCTGTCCGTGGATCCAGGTCCACTGCGAGAAAGACACTCTTAAAGGAAGCTGTCCTCAGACGAAAGAGTGGTCATTCCCCTTCTCTGACCCCAGTGCATCACCACCACTTACCTTCACCGGGTCAGCAGCAGCGATCCGAGCCTGCTCCTCACGCCGCTCCAGCGTCCCCGAGCACACAGCGTGGGTTGCCCGGAGCTGGGAATCAACACCCCCACTCCTCTCCATGTGTTCAGCAGCGCCCTGGTTCGGACCCATCCCTGGATGAGCCCGCTGGTTCTGGCCATGGACACCGAGCGCCCTCTCCGCGGCCGCGTCCACTCTTCGCCCCGACTACTTTGATTGTTGGAGATTCCATCGTGAGGCACGTCCGCTTTTTTAACGCGGTCACTCAGTGCATTACCGGAGCCACTGTACCAGACCTGCTCATCCGTCTCCCTCCTCTGCTTCAGTCCCTGCCTGATACCATTTCAAAGGTAATCGTGCATGTGGGGATCAACGACATGAAGCTGCAGCAGTCCGAGGTCACAAAGAAGCATTTTATGGATCTATTCCGCCTCCTCCAGTCCTTCGGGTTGTGTGTTTTTATCTCTGGTCCAGTCCCGACTGTAAACCGGGGAGACTGCTTGTACAGTCGCGTTGTGGCGCTCAACATGTGGCTCCAGTCTACATGCAGCACTTTTAACTTTATTTTTGTGAACAACTTTGGCCTGTTCTGGAAGCGTCACGTGGCCTATCGTCCAGATGGTCTGCACCCGAACAGATACGGCACCAGTTTGTTGACGGACTTCCTACGCCATGTTGTTCAGTGCTCCCCGAGGGGGGCGTGACTGTTTACATCCGAGGCTTCTCGGCCCCCACTACCCCCCTCCTCCTCCTCCTTACCAGCACCGGGTGAGTACTGTGGTGCAAACACTGACCCCTGTCAGTCTGGCAGTGTAACGACAGTCCTGCCACTGAACTGTGCTGACTCAGTTATGCATCTGGAACTTAACAAAGTACAACAGAGTTCACTTTTTAAACCAATAGAGACTGTGTGTGTTTCTCGCACCAGCTCAGAAATGTGTTTTAACTTGAATAAACACAAATTTAAAAGAAGGACAGCAGTTAGACGGTCCAACTCTGGAAATCTAATTCCAGTTCTTTGTAATCAATCAACTAAACCCATTGACACTGATATTAATTTTAACCTTGCTCTACTTAATGTCAGATCACTATGCAACAAATCATTTTTAATTAATAATTTTATCTGTTCGTATGATCTTGATTTTATGTTTATGACTGAAACATGGCTTGACCATAATACAGGAGATGCAGTTTTAATAGAAGCCTCACCACCAAATTTCAAATTTGAACATGAAACACGAGAAAATAAAAGGGGGGGGGGGCATAGCAGCAGTTTTTAAAGATCGTATTGTCTCCCATAGAGTGTCTCTTGGGAAATTTTCATCATTTGAGTATGTTTCTTTTAAAATATAACAAAAGAAATCTTCTTCCATTCTTATTATTGTTGTGTACAAGCCGCCACAGTCATGCCATAGTTTCACTGATCATTTCACTGAGTTGCTTTCAGTTGTGTGCACAGATTTTGATGGTTTGGTCATTGTAGATGATTTCAATATACATGTAGATAATGCTAATGATAGATATGCAATAGAGCTGAGCTCTGTGCTGGAAACCTTTGGTCTCACTCAGCATGTGAGTGGCCCCACCCACAGCAGAGGACACACTCTCGATCTGTTAATTACCAAGGGGGTTAATATTTCAAATGTAAATGTGGTCAATGTTGCTCTGTCTGATCATTTCTGTGTATTTTTTGACATGTGTCTTGATTGTAAACCACCAGCTGAATCTTCGGTTGTTAGAAGAAGACACATAAATGATAATACAGGCGAACTGTTCATGGGGAGGGTAAACTTTGAGAACACGTTGTGTGTTACTGTAGATGAATTACTTGATTCTGTCACCACCACTGTTTTGAATGTTCTGGATACAATTGCTCCTGTAAAGGTTAAAATAGTTACAAACAAGCAAAAAGCGCCATGGACTAAAGCAGACTCGGTCAGGGCACAGAAGAGAGAGTGCCGGAAGGCCGAGCGGAAGTGGCGAAAGTCAAATCTCAAAGTTGACCATGAGATCTTCAAAGATGCGTTGTGCAATTTTAACAGGGAACTACGTAGAACGAGGGAAATGTACTTTTCTGAAACTATTGAAGGCTGTAGCAACAATCTACGTGTTCTGTTTTCAACAGTAAATAGATTGACGAATCCCCCTGTTAAGATGCCATCAGAACTTACTTCCAAATCTAAATGTAATGAGTTTGCTCAGTTCTTTAATGACAAAGTCCAAGGTATCAAAAACGCCATCACCTCCACGATAGAAATAATAATCCAACCGCCAGTGAGGCTTTTTGGGCTGACGCACTTTACACCAGTACAAATTGAAACTGTCCAGGAGATAATCACTAGTCTGAGTTCCTCCACATGCAGCCTGGATGTATTACCTCCTAGATTTCTCAAGTCAGTTCTGAGCAGTCTTTTACCTTCACTTACACAAATAGTTAATATGTCTCTTGAATCTGGAACATTCCCAATGGCCTTGAAAACGGCGGTCATCAGGCCCCTCCTAAAAAAGAGGAGTCTGGAAGCCCTGGCACTCAAAAATTATCGGCCCATTTCAAATCTGCCTTTCATGGGAAAAATTCTAGAAAAAGTTGCCTATAAACAACTTACAGAATTTTTAATAATCAATAACGCTTATGATATGTTCCAGTCAGGGTTTAGACCCCACCACAGCACTGAGACCGCGCTAATAAAGGTAACAAATGACATCAAACTAAACACTGACGCAGGAAAAAGTCTCAGTCCTTTTTCTGTTAGATTTAAGTGCTGCTTTTGACACTATTGATCATGGCATCCTCATTCAGAGACTTGAGGACTGGGTTGGTGTTGCTGGCACCGCCCTAAGCTGGTTTAGGTCCTATTTACAAGACAGAAAGTTTTTTGTGGAGATCGAAAACTGTACCTCAGACCACTTGGCCCTGGCCTGCGGAGTGCCACAGGGGTCAATCCTGGGTCCTCTTCTGTTTAATATTTACATGTTGCCTCTAGGTCAGTTGATTCACAGTAATAATGTCTCTTATCACAATTACGCTGACGATACTCAGGTCTATGTGTCCCTGACAGCAGGAGAGCATGAACCAGTGGACTCGCTCCTTCACTGTGTCCAGCAAATCGGTGATTGGATGCAAAATAACTTTCTCCAACTAAACACCGACAAAACTGAAATAATTGTTTTCGGACCCCAGAAACAAAGAGAGAGCGTTATTTGTCACCTCCAGGCATGGGCGTCGGACTGGGGGGGTAAAGGGTACCGAGTACCCAGGGCCCAAGGCGGGGAGGGGCCCTCTAAAGTGTGTCTTTATATGTA